TTATCGAGACCGAAAACATGTATCCGGATATCTGTCACGATTTGATACTGATTATATTATACACCTGCAGTAATTTATATTCTGTACAAAACATAGTTTTAAAATGTTGCTGACTATTGGTTGGTGCAGGTAGAATGCATGTAAGCCACCAACACTCATAGCGTAGAACCCACTTATCCATTAGGGTATTCATGTTTAAGGTATTATATTCCACAGGGATACTGGCCATACTAAGACGTACACAACAAGCATACTTAGGGCAAAATCAGATAACACCATCAAACAAAACACCAATTTTACCAATTTTCACCAAATGGCTGGTTTATTTCCGACTGGAGGTAGTATTTAGTACTCAGTATATGCAGTCGTACTCACAGTCAGTATTTGCAGTCGAGTGAGTCCATTCGATCTCAAAATACCGGTACAGTATACCGTAGTTCGTCCTATGAAGTACTACCTAGGTACTACTTCGAAGTACCAAATATTGTCAAAATCGACAGAAAGGGGGTGGTTGTATGAAATTATAAACAGAAAATGATCTTCTCTTTAGAGGTGGGCAGGGATGATCTTGCCGAGGCAGTCGCCAAACCCGATGCGGTAGCCGTTGCCTTGCGCGAACCCGCGGATATTGATCGTGTCGCCGTCCTTGAGGAACTTGCGCGTTTCGCCGTTGGCGATCGCAATCTCCTTGGTGCCTTGCCAGCTCAACTCGAGCATTGACCCAAAGCTGTCTTCGGTCTTGCCCGAGATGGTGCCACTGCCAAGCAAGTCGCCGGGGTTCATCGAGCACCCCGTGATCGTATGGTGTACCAGCTGCTGCTTCATGTTCCAGTACATGTATCGGTAGTTGCTCTTGCTGATCACGGCGTAGTCGCCGTTTTCGGGCTTGAGGTCCACTTCCAATGCAATGTCGTACGTGCCCTTGCCATAGTTGGCGTCCAGCAAGTACGGCAACGGCGCGGGGTCCTGCACAGGCCCAAAGCTCGGTTCGGTGCGGAAAGGTTCCAACGCCGCCAGCGTCACAACCCACGGCGAGATGGTCGTGCCAAAGTTCTTGGCGCCAAACGGGCCCAACGGCACGTATTCCCACTTTTGAATGTCGCGAGCTATATACGTTTGTACAGTTGGACATCGCCATTGCTTGAATGTGGACAACAGATACATGGACATACCACTCCAGTCGTTCATCAGCACGACACCGAAAATGTGCTTTTCCGCGTCGTTGATGTCAATGGGATCGCCGAGGTTGTTGGCCGGACCAGTGAAAAATCCCTACAAATGTGAGTCAATCCTTGTCGTTGCTTCTTATCACCATCGATATATATATATATATATTTGGGTACGCACAATTTCCAATTCAATGTCCAACAAACGGCTAGGTCCAAACACGGAACCCTTGGAAGGGTCCTTGTTGTCGGCTTGCAATTGACCGCGAGGGCGGCGAATGTCCGTGCCGCTCACAACCACCGTGGAGGCGCGGCCGTGGTAACCCACAGGCAAATGCAGCCTGGCCATGAATGAGGAAATATACCGCAAGATAGAAGGCCAAGCAAGTCGTACCAGTTGGGTTGCAACGCGTTATCCTTGCCACGGAACATGATGCCCACGTTGGTGGCATGTTCGCGCGACGAATAAAAGTCGGTGTAGTCACCGATGCGGGCAGGCAAGTGCAAGAGCACATCCGACTGGTTGATCAACGCGCGGTTTTGGAGGTCGACGTCGTCACGCAACGTAGGTTCTTCGGCCGAAAGGAGTCGCTTGATAGTGGCGCGGGCAGCGTCCCAAGTGGTCTTGCCGGCTGCCATGAACGAATTCAACGTGGGTTCGGAAAAGAACGACGCATCGAACGTGAAATGTCCTTCGGCGGCGAGGACGCTCAAGTCCAAGACAAGGTTGCCGATGGCCACACCAACACGCTTGTTTTCAGGGTCTTCGCGCGTGGAGAAGATACCGTAGGGCAAGTTTTGGATGGGGAAGTCGCTGTTGGACGGGACGTCCACGAACGTGGTTTCCGTCTTGGCCTTCTTCGAGGGAGAAGTGGACATGGTTTGCGTACGATGAGTTGCTAGGAGAAGGTAGTTTAGCATTACGGTGACACAAGCAAGACCCAGCAGCATCGCCATCCATGCTCGTAACCTTGGGCGGGAAGGATGTGTCATGTGTGTACCTGTTGGGAAGCGCGCAACTTTGCGAATGAGAGGTGTTCCGCGGACAGATACCCAAATGAGGCGGGGCTTGAAACGTTACGTGATTGGCTAAAATTCAAGTTCAACTCTCCCGTGGATTACCAATCGAAATGGTCTTTGTAAACCGTGCAGAAAGTAATTATAATATTCCTGCCACCCTTGACTTTAGTATGGGGATTTGAATATTTGATTGAATTTGGAATATCGTGGATTCGCCATAGTCCGTATTCAGAGGGAGTGTTGGTTATCAATTATTGGCCAGAGTTCACAATACTAGCTTTCGACGTATGATATGGTGCATTTCATCTAAAGACTATAAAAAAATGTCATATCTTTCGACAGCTATTCCAACTTTTTATTGATATTTTTTAGGAAAATAAGCCGTAATAACGATAGAATTGGTTCAAAATTTCGATTGGTGAAAAATTGGAGAAATAGAATTTAAACCAACCAGCCTTTTTGTATGGAAATATATAGATAGAGAGCCAGGCACATTTTGGCCGAAAAGGAGCTCAAGTATATCTTGGTCTTTGTATACAGCACTTATCCGTATGAACGTTTTCATTGTATCCGGATTATTCAGGACGTTTAACCTATTTACCAGATAAAAACGTAAGTAATAATGATTTAACGTCAAAATTACGTGGGTTTAACTGGAAAAAACGAGGCGCTTAAACTAAAACGTCTCCTCCTGAGGATGGCCGATCTGTAGTCTTTAGATGAAATGCACCATACGTCGCCAAAACGTAATTACTCCGGAGTAGTAGCGTGGCCGACAGTGGCAATGACGCCGCTGTCGCCTCTCGTGGTTGTGGTGGCCAGGTCCTTTCGTTCCATGTCTGCCCTTCAGTCAGGTAGCTTGGTGCGATCGTTGAGGATATGTACCCCCACAACCTCCTTGTCTTTGGGAGGTGTCGAAGTGGAGCTTACAGTTAATTCAACTTGGCTTCACGGATGTCTCGACCTCGTAGTGCCCACACCATCGTCCTCGAGCTTGTACTCTTCAGACGACATAGAGCAGTGTAGTTGACGGACTGTTAGATGGATTGCTGTGCGTTTGATACGAAAAACTGTACAACATGCAGCTGATTTGACATGTGAATGAGTGAGTCGTCATCGTACGGTACGATGAGAAGTATGTACCTTGCATGAAGGGTGGAACCATTCAAGCAATGCCATGGAGAACTACACATGATGATTCATGATGCTTCATGACGTGGCGATCCCCACCAGCCATTTCACCACGTGCGACGATAGCCATTCGTTTTCGCGCCTGCCGCCATTTCAAAGATCGTGGCAGTATACTCAGACCTGTTTAAATTAATAACCACAACCAGGATGATGAAGTTAAACAGGTTATTCGGACTCGGGGACAAATTTGAGCGGGGATGGCGGACAAGCGGAAGCACGTTGATGCCGCGGGACTTCTGTCGTCTGACGACGAAATCAACGAGACGAATCTGAGGAAGCGTCTGCGTCTTGCGCGTCAATCCACTCTGCATGAGAATGAACTGGTCCCAAGGTCTCCTGAGAGCATTTACGGCAGCGAGGACGACTCGACCGCGTTGGAGCAACACTCCAAGCCACCTCCACCACCACAATCGGGGGTCGTAGGACGACCTCGTCGTTTGATTCGTGATGCAAAGCGTGCCGCTCCGGCAGTTCCTCCTCCAGCAAGCAAGGCACAGCAGGCCAAATTGTTAGACTACGACGCGTTCCTTAAACAACATGGGATTGAAGAGAAGGTATCCCGAGGAGGTCGCCGGACGTCGACACGCGCCAAGACTTCAAAACGATCGTACTCTAGCGACGACATCGAAGATGATGAAGACGATGAAGACGACGAAGCCGACAGCAGCTCCTCGGACGACGACGCCAAGCCCGTGCCGAAAAAGGGCACTCGGTCGTCGGCGCGCAAACCGCCAGCAAAAAAGCAAGCAGCTGCCGTGTCCTCCAAGTCCAGAACCGCCACCCAACGTTCCTCGAAGAAGACAACGACCAAGCAAGACCATTCCAACTCGAATTCCAGCGACACGGACGATTTCGTCGCCGAAGTGTCGTCGAGCAGCAAAAAGGCGACGAAGAAGAAAAAGGCGGCGTCCACCACCGCCGCGAAATCCAAGAAAAACAAAGCTGGACCCGCCAAGGCCAAGAAGCGAAATGTGCAACCGAAGCGTGCGTTGTCGTCGAGCCATGACGACGACTCGTACAACTCGAGCAACGACAGCGCCAAGGCAACGTCGTTTTCCCGCAAAAAAGGGAAAAAACCCCACGACGACTCAACCGACAGCGACGAGTTGTTTCGAAAGCTGCCGCGGGGGGATGACGAGTCGGATGATGGCGACGAGTGCTTCATCGTGGACAAGGTGCTGGCTAAGGAAACACACACGGCCGCCGAGTGGGCCAAGAAGTGCCGCGGCATGCACACGCATTACGTGTCCCTTGGCTCGATATTCGTAGACGACGACGATGACGACGATCATCGAACCACACAAGATGATACCGAGCCCAAGGACGTTGCCGCCGACGACGACGACGAGGATGCCCCAGGCATTGAAAAGTTTCTCATCAAGTGGCGCAACCTGTCGTACTTGCATGTGACGTGGGAAACCGAATCGGCGCTGGTCGAGTATGAAAAGAACGCCAAGGGCAAGCTCCAGCGGTTCCAGGATCGGACGGCCAAGCTACTGCTCCTCGACGAAGCCCAAGGCGACGAGTACTTTAACCCCGAGTTTTGCACGGTGGACCGCATCTTGAACGTGCAGCCGAGCGATGTTGACGACGGCAAGGGCGGGTTCCAGCTCGAGTATTATGTCAAGTGGAAGGCGCTGCCGTATGACGAGTGTACGTGGGAGCAAGAGGTGGACGTCCACGACGACGCCGCCGTGCAGCTGTACCATGCATTCAACAAAGAACCACCGCCGCCATCATCTGCAGCATCGTTGAAGCGAACGACGGCGCAGTTTCGACCGTATAATGCCGACAACCCGATCCGATTCAAGACGGACCTCCAGCAACTCCGAGACTACCAAGTCGAAGGCGTCAACTGGATGATCTTCAACTGGTATAACCACCGCAACTCGCTCTTGGCCGATGAAATGGGGTTGGGCAAGACCGTCCAAACAGTGGCGTATATCAACCACTTGGTCACGAAGGAGAACCTCCGCGGGCCGTACCTGATCATTGCGCCGCTGTCGACTTTGTCCCACTGGCAGCGAGAGGTACGGCGGTGACTTTGTGTGTGCTAAAGTGCTGCTCATGTTTGGTTCATGCTGGGACGGATCGATATACAGTATCGGGTATCGACCACATACAAAAAGTGTTGCGGCGTTCATATGTGCGGATTCACCAAATCTATCGATGCATATGCTGTTGTGTACGGATAACTATTGTATATATATATATATATATATATATATATATATAAACTGTCCGTTGTGTCACATGAATATAATATTAACACATAAATTTTCGATTGGGAAGAGAGAGACTTTGATTGGCCACTTTGAAGAGTGTTGTGGGTTTTGATTGGTCGTATATCGATTGTCGTCTGTCGATTCGATCATATCAAGTGATATATGGAACTCATAGCAAAGTACCGATTCACGAGTATGAACGTGTTTGAGAGTAGTTTACGGGATGGACCAACTTGAACGCGATCGTGTTTCACGGCAGCCAAAGCGCGCGAAAGATCATTGAGGATTACGAATTCTATCGCCCCACTACTAGTAGTAGTACGTCCAAGGCGCGAAGCAAGGGCAAGGCGGCGTCGTCGAACCACCACCAGCAACCACAATACCGCTTTGATGTGCTCATCACAACATTTGAAATGTGCACGGCCAACGACTACCTGACCCTGGCGCGCATCAAATGGCAGCTGGCGGTGGTAGATGAAGCTCACCGGCTAAAGAACAAGAAGTCCAAATTCTCGTCCGTGCTCGAAGATCGGTTCCAGTACGAGAACCTGCTGCTACTGACGGGTACGCCGCTCCAGAACAACGTCGAGGAGCTGTGGACGTTGTTGCACTTTTTGGACTCTGACAAGTTTCAGTCGGCGTCGGACTTTGTCGACTTGTTTGGTGAGCTCAAAGACTCGAGCCAGGTGGAGAAGCTGCACAAGGAACTCAAGCCGTTCCTGCTGCGTCGGATGAAGGAAGACGTGGAGAAGTCTCTCGCACCAAAGGAAGAAACGATCATTGAAGTCGAACTGACCGTGTTCCAAAAGCAGTACTACCGCGCCATTTACGAGAAAAATTCCCAATTCCTCGCGGTACAGTGTCGTCAAGATATATATATATATATATATTGTCGTTGAACCCCAACATTTGGATGTTTATTTTTTCGCCAAATGTATCGGATCCATTATTGTGCTTTCGAGTGAAATTTCATTGTATTGTGGCGTGGTTTCTCGTTGGAATTGAAATCGATTTGATTGGCTACCTCAGATGAGCTCAAAATTATTAGCCAATCAAAACCTTCTCGATGAAATTCAACAACCAATCAGATCGATTGCGGATCGGTTTGACTCGATTGCACCCGCTCGTCGCCAAATTTGTATATCAAATCGACTATATTGTTTGTCCTGACTTTTGGATCTCAAGATCGTTCCGTCTCACACTAATTTCAGTCATCACACACGAATTCAACGTTGCATTGGTCGTGGAAGAGAGAGTGTTTTGATTGGCCACTTGATTTGTGTGGATGATTTTGATTGGTCAATATCGATTGTCTGCTCATTCGATTGCGCACACTCCAAGTATGATTTTGAATCTGTCGATTCGATTGTATACTAACTATACTGTATATATTCATCGAACGAAAGAAGCGACATTTCACACATGTGACATAATATATATATCTATCTGTAGCGAGGCGGGAAAAAAGCCCACGCGCCAAGCTTGATGAACGTGGTGATGGAGCTTCGAAAGTGCTGCAACCATCCGTTTTTGATTCGGGGCGCCGAAGAGCGCGAAGTGATGCGGCTGCAAAAGCAACAACCGCGGAACCTGCCGCTAAGTACCCGCCGCGAAGCCGTGCACAAGCAGCTCAACGACCTGCTCGTAACTTCGTGTGGGAAGCTCGTGTTACTCGACAAGTTGCTGCCGCGGCTGCGCGACGGCGGCCACCGCGTGCTAATTTTCTCGCAGTTCAAGATCATGCTCAACATACTGGAAGACTATCTGCGCATGCGGGGGTACCCCCGCGAACGCATCGACGGCAGCATCACTGGCAACGACCGCCAGGCTGCAATCGATCGGTATTGCGACCCTCATCGCGACAGCTTTGTGATGCTTCTGAGTACCCGCGCGGGGGGCGTGGGTATCAACTTGACCGCGGCCGACACTTGCATCATCTATGACAGCGACTGGAACCCCCAGAACGACCTGCAAGCGCAAGCGCGGTGCCATCGCATCGGCCAAAAGAAAAGCGTCAAAGTGTACCGGCTTCTCACGTCCAAAACGTACGAACTGCACATGTTCCATCAAGCGTCGATGAAATTGGGTCTGGATCAAGCCGTGCTCGGCGGTATCCGCCAAGTGCAATCAGCAGCCAAAGGGGGACCACCATCTAAAGAAGAAATCGAGTCGCTGCTCAAGTATGGCGCGTACGAAATGTTTAAAGAAGACGATGCCGATGCCGCGAGTAAAAAGTTCAACGAAGAGTCAGTGGACGAGATCCTCAAGCGGAGTAAAACCGTGGTCCACGACCCAAAGAAGGACCAGACGGTGGCAGCATTTGGCTCGTCGTTTTCCAAAGCCACGTTTGTGAGCTCGGAAAACCCCGCCGAACAAGTCGCGCTGGACGATCCTGACTTTTGGATCAAAGTGATTGGACTCACGGGAGTAGCCGAGTCGAACGCAAAGCACAATAAAACCCCCGAGAAGCGGAGATGCAAAGGCCGCAAAACGTACAAAGAGATTGGAAGCGACGAAGACCGCCACGACGCCGACGGCGAGTACAAAGTGGAAGACGAAGCGTCGGAAAGCTCGAGTGATGATGACGATACCGCCGACGCACATCATGGTTCTACCACGTCCGCCACCGGCGAAGTCAAAGCCATCAGCGCTGCCTACTCGAATGTGCACAGATTTCATCAAAACTTTGTGGTACGTATATATATATATATATATATTCATGGATTGGACATATATATGTATTTGCTATTTTATTTTTGTAGAAAAATAAAATGAACCTAATGGACGTCAACTTATATATATCCTGTATATCGATGGTTTGGACATATGTGTGTGTGTTTTTCGTGAAATAAAAAAAAACTATTGGGCGCCCACATCCACCAATGATCGATCTGTTTCGTCATCGACACGCCTCTACAATACTTTGTTACATATATATATATATATATATCCATGATTTGGACATATGTGTGTGAATACAAACAAGTAGCCCATTGTGTGCATGCTCCACCCACACTGACTCTATGTTTAAAATCAATATATATATATTCCTTTTTCGAAACAAAAACCCAAAAGATCAAAGATATATATATATTTAGAAAAAAAAAAGATCAAAACAACCCAAATATAATCCTGTGTGTTGTATAGACGGCATTGCTCACGTACGGGTATGGCCGATGGACCAAGATTCGCATGTCGGACCCGATTTTGACCAACTTTCCCGTGGTGAAAATCAAGGATTATGCGATGGGGTTCATGGTGCAAATGCTTCGGGTGGCGAGTATGGATCCACATACCAACCACGCGGCGCCGACGTCGACGGACGCTACCGCCGTGAACCAGCAGCAACTCGTCCGCGACGCTATGAACAAGATGGCACTCAAGTACAAGTTTGTCGTGTACTGGCTGCAAGTGTTACACCGTGAAAGCAACAACCAGTCGAGTCAGTCGCGCGAGATGTTCAATCTGCACGAGATTCCCGTCCAGGAGGAACTCACGCGGCTGAATGTGGTCGCGTCGTTGGCCAAAACCGCCGGCAAGTACCTGCAATTGCTCGACAGTTTGTTTGTGTTGGACCAGTTCGTGTCGAAACGCTTGTCGCCCATGTTGGAAGTCATGGCGATCCTCAATACCCCATACAACTCAGGTATGTACGGCCCATATCTTTGTAAATATGGGTGTTGTGGAGCTCATGTCGATGATGTGGTGTGGTTCATGTTTCAAAGCATTTGGTTCAAAGTCATTCGAGATATTGTGATATTTCGCTATAAACTTTTAAAATTCGCCTGGTTTGTCGAATCAATATTGAATAATCACGCCGGAGTTGTGATTGGTTGAATATACTTGTCTTTTCGAGCCAATCAAATCCACTCAAAAATGGATTAGCCAATAGCGTCGATTCGTGATTCGATTCAGCGGCGAGATACATTCGATTGATTCGACGGGGTCTGGAAATTCGTATCGAATCCACAATATATATATATATATATACACACAATATTTGGTTGGCACATTGATAACCAGACAGTGCAATTTGTATCCCATTTTGCGGATTTGTTCGAATCTATTTTGGCGTTTTGCATCTTAAAAGTATATTCTTATTATATATTCCTCCTTGTGGTCCTGTTTGGAAATGGTAAACATATATATATCAACTAGACTCGTCGCCTTTAGCCGACAATGGCGACGTGCCCACTACCGTGGCTCGCAACTTAGTCGAAGATCTCGAAGATGCAGTCGATGCCAAAGAACCACTTGTTGCTGCCGACGCTAGTCCGTCCCCCGCCAACCCGCCAACGACCACCGCGGAGGACGAGGGCGATACCACCTCGTCACTCCAAGACGGCAACGTCCATCCATCGACGGCGGCATCTTCTTCGAAAGTGATCCTCCCACCGGATGTCGTGGCCAAATGGACGCATTACTTTGGCGCGTTGTACAAGATGCCCGCGATCCCCGTCGTCCAGTGGTGGAGCAGTCCCCACGACGACGTCCGTCTGCTGTACATTGTCCACCGGTACGGATGGCTGCGCGGGACCAAGGCGCAGTTTCAACAGATCCGGACCGATCGGCTGCTGTTTCCGCCGACGCACCCCGGCGGCCGAGACAACGCGCCTTGGCCGTCCATTGCGACTCTGAACAAGCGCGTCAAGGCGATTATTCGGTACTGGGCCGACAAATCGATCCAGTCGGTGCTTCCAACTGCCCCTCCGCCCCCCGTCGCCCCCCGCCTGGCGCCGCCGCCCTTGGCCAAAGCTACGGTCAAGTCGGCGAGCCACGCCTTCCTGCAGCATATGTGGGAGCGCCGCAGCCGGTTCATGGGTCTGCTCATGTCCCATGGCGTCCCTGACGTCCGGTTGTGCACGAACGCGTTGGAAGAGCGGGAAAAGTGGCGCTACTTCCTCTTCGACCCGGTGCTCCGTGCCAAACACTTTTCCCCGCAAGAGTTGCTAGCTGAGGCCACGAGCCTCGAAGCAGTGTGCATCAGCTTCCTCGGCAACACCAAACCGCTCAAGTCGACTGAACGGTCAGTGTTTGGCGCGTATCGCCACGACTGGGTCGTGACCCATGACCAGGCGCGGGGGATTCTGTACCGCCTCGACCTGTTTCGAATTCTGCGGCAAGAGGTGCTAGTACTGCGTCCGGCCGAACTGCACGCGACCATGGCGCAGGTTGTCGGACACGTGCATCAAGTGCAGTCGGCACCGTCGTGGTGGAAGAGCCCCGAGTGCGACATTCTCCTCATGCAGGTAGGTTTTCGGGGTGGGTTGGCTGTGTGATCTGTCTAGGATTTGTGTGTGTGTGTGTTATAAGGTGGTGTGGTATTGTCCTTTTACCCCCCTAAAGTAGACTTTTATGCTGATATTCGCCAAAACGATGGATCGAGCTATTTCTTTGTACGGACTTTTAGAAGTAACCATCGTCCAGTGAGAGTCGCGAGACTAATTTTTCATATATATTCACACACTAATTCAAGTGGTCCACGAGTGGATTTGATTGGCTAGTTGATTCATGTGTTGTGGTTTTTGATTGGTCGATATATCGATTGTCTGCAGATTTGGTGATTATTCGATTGAGCACCCAAACTCTCCCATTCTTTTAATCGACTAACTAGTTGTGTCGAATGCATTCGATGATAATATATTAGAGAGTCTAATACATGGATCGGATGATTGTTTGACCATTTAGGGCGTCGAGTGTTATGGGTTGGACGACCACATCAAGGACATGTGGCAACTGGATTTGTTTCAACGACTCAACCCATCGCAAAGCTTTCCCAGCGTGTCGTGGGTCGACAGCACCGTCATGACGTGCGCCAAAGCGGTGGTGCGCACACGGCGGGCGGCGGAAGCGGCCCTCGAGGAGCAGCAACGGCAACAAGCGATCGAGGCCGCCCGGGTGCAAGCAGAAGAAAGACAGCGCGCGTTGCTGGCGAACGACCAAGCCAAACAAGAGGCTGGTCGAGAAGCGCAGCCAGTTCCTGCAGAGCAGATCCGCCCCCGATTCACAAGTGAGCCGGACGTGGAGCGCACCGCGATGGCACTGGAGGACCCGCATTGCAACACAAAGGCGTTCATGTGGTACTTGCTGCAGAAAAAGGAAGCCGAGCTCCGGTCCGAGAGCAATAAGGTCGAGTACCGAGCTCGACGGGACGACATCCACCGCCAGATTGAACACGAACGACAGGCCCGAGAAGAGGAGCTCAAAGCCGGGCTGGGAACCAGTCAACCTGGTGTTCGAGCGCCAGAAGTCATCGAGATCGACGACGACAGCGAGTAAGGGACCAACCAGCAGTAGATCGACGGCCGGCGTTGTAGCGTGTAATGAAATGAATTGTGTTGCTTGATATGATTGTGGTCGAACGATTGTATCCATTGCATTGATATACTCATAAACCTAAGTGTAAGGCGCAGAGTGAACATTTGTACATAGATATACAGTACGGCACGGAATCAAGTGCGACTGACGGCGTACAGATAATCGACCACGTCCACATGTCCTTGAGACATGGATTTGTGGATGGCGGTTGTCACGTCTCGTTGAATCCCGTGCTCCCACATCCACTTGACTGAATCCAAGTACCCTCCTTCCGCGGCACCACACAACGCTTTGCCGGCATCACAAGGCTTGTCGTGGCCAACGAGCCATTTCACAATGTCCAAATGTCCACGTGTGGCGGCACTGGTCATCGCTGCGTCGGTGCAACCTACTGCTGGCTGGTGTTCGTGGAGCCATTCGAGGACGTCCAGATGGTCGTTTTCCGCGGCGAAGTCCATGGCATCGGTCGTACATGTGTATCCGTGGGCCTGGAGAATATCCAACACTGCCATGTGTCCGTTGCAAGCGGCTCCATCCATCGCGTTGGACGTGCCGCCTTCGGTCCGATGGGACAGCAAAAACTGGACGACCTCCGTGTGTCCATGAGTGGAAGCCCAGTCCACAGCACTTGACGTGGCGCCGTCCGCTCGATTCCAGTGCAGCCATTCGACAATGGCCAAATGGCCCTTGCTGGCACTCCAATCGATCGCCTTCTCGCTGGCCCCTTCGGAACGGTGTGTGTGTAAGAATTGCACAATGTTCAAATGTCCTTGCTCTGCTGCATGGTCCATGGCTTTGTGCGAGCATCCCTCGCGTCGGTTTAAATGGAGAAACGCGACGATGTTGAAATGGCCGCCCAAAGCGGCTCTGGTCATGGCCATCGTCGTACACCCCTCTAGACGATGAACATGCAGAAATTGGACGATCGCCAAATGGCCACTGGAGGCGGCCCAATCCATTGCCCATGTCGTGGCAGTGCCGCGCGGATGCAAGCGCTCGACGATGGTCAAGTGGCCATAATGCGCGGCGACGTCGATGAGTGGGACGTCAAGAGGAAGGAGGTTCTGGTCATCAAGGAACTCAACGAGGGATAGGTCGCCAACAAAGATGGCGTGCAAGGCTAGACAATGCCGAAAACGCTCAAACGAAGCGACCGACCGACAGATGCGTACGGTTCCGTGGGTGTGGAGCCATGGACGAACCAACGCTGCGTTCTTCGTGATGGTGTCTTGTGGAAAAAAGTAACGGTTGCGCAGATTCGGTGGTCGGAGGCTGCATAGTGGCAGCAGGTCGTTGTAGATGCCGTGCTGGAACGCAGTGATAATGCGTGCCAACGCCGGATCGAGCAATACTGCAGCATGTGCCATTTCAGATTATCTTGATGGTGAAAATACTAATAGATTTGAGTACTTATTTATTGCATCTGATACTTCCTCTGTTCCAAGTTCGCATGTTCCAAGTTACTGGCGACATTTGCATTTCATTGGCTGTAATTCTTCAATTTCTATCAATATCGAACATTTATGACATTTCATTGACTTATAATTGCTTTAAGCGCTGATTATAAACCAATCTTTTGCGAATATTCATGCAATTCCTTTCAAACAAAGCATCATTCGCTCAAATTGACATGTGAGCACTAGAAAAGTGAAATCACCAAAATATAAGCAAAAACAGCATAACGTTACATATTTTAAGCTTATTAACAAAACCGTATACCGTCTTGCGTAATACGAGTGCGACAGCCATTACGAGTCAGACACCCATGTTAATTTATATTTTATTCATGAAGAAGAGGAGAGATTCTTAGAGGTTTCCCTTCGCGCCGCAATATACCCCCTAGACATAATAGTTACCCCCAAAGGTAATACTATATTCATTTATAGAGGTTTTTACGCGCGGGAATTGCTTGTGACCATCAACAAATGACGTAGCGCACTTTCCTTCTCGCCATGCTGGACAGTGACGATCATCCAGCCCAGCGCCGGCCTTCAACCGGGAGACCAATATTCAAGTATGGCCCAAAGAAGAAGGCGAAACAGTTCAAGAACACAGTAGTCTCATACAGTGAGAGACTAAGTGTCATTCAATACTATGATACGTGTGGCATGCAAGCGACCCTCAACACCTTCTACGACAACTGTACCATGGCAGCGCGTGAGACAATGCGCAAGAAAGTGTACTCTTGAGTGGCCAACCGGGACCATATCACTCGCATGGCTGCCAGTCCAACAACGGCGAAACTGAAGTGTTGGCGGCCCATGGGGACAGGAACGACTCTCACCATGGAGGCTGAGGAGCAGCTCGCTCATTGGGTCCTTGGAATGCGGAAGGACGGGGTACCTGTGACACAAGCCATGATTCGCATCATGGCCTTGGAGTCCGCTGTTGACTTGGGCCTCGAAGACCACGAGTTTCTTGCTGGCTGGCATTGGGTGCACGGCTTCAAACGGCGTCATGGTTTGTCCCTACGTTCAAGGACTCGGATCGGACAGGACACACCGGAGGACGGGATTGCTGTGCTTGAGGCCTTTGCAGCTCGGGTTGACGCGATCGTGAAGGAGAACGACATCGACGTGATCTACAATGCAGATCAGACTGCAGTGAACTACGAATACCTCCCTACCAAGACCATCAACAAGACAGGGGAAAAGACAATTTGGGTGAAATGTGGAGGCAAGACAAAGGAGCGGGTGACAGCCATGTTGTTGGCAGACTCGACTGGGACCAAGCACCCGTTGTTTCTGGTCATGAAGACGGCAGCATCCAAGATCAAGGCCGTTGTCCAGGAGAACTTGCAGCAGCGTCAAGGATTCGGTAAGACGGTCTGGAAGAGCATCGTTGGCATGCAAGATGACAACAACTGCCGTATATACGGGAATCCTACCGCCTGGTGGAATGCACAGGTGTCTTTGAAGTTCTTGGAGTATCACTTTGGACAACGCCCTGACCGCGCGACGAAGAAAGTCTTGTTGATATGGGACGACTTCTCTGCGCATTTCACCGAGGACGTGGTTGCCTACGCAAAAAGTATCAATGTTGTGTTGGAGCGGGTTCCTCCCCGATATACATGGATTTGTCAACCTGCTGACGTCGCGTGGAACCGTCCGCTCAAATTCCGTCTGCGTCAGGAGTGGCTTGACCTGATTCGGCGTCAATTGAGGAACGTAAGAAAGCGACACGTACCGTTCAAGCTGTAGCCACCTTCGCGAGCGACCATCGTTGCGTGGATTGTCAAGGCGTGGCTGGATCTGCCGAGCACAATTATAGTCAACGGATTCCGCAAGTGCCGCCTGGTTGAAGGGTCACCTGTCGATGAGGACGTACCTGGTGGTATTATGGATGAAGCTGTGTTTGCACAATTGACGGCAAGTTGCGCTATTGAGGACACAATTGACCCTGAGAGTGACTTCAGCAATACTGTTGATGAGGAAGGCGACGAAACTATTGTTCTTTGATTTGAATATTTCAATAATAATGTGTTGCATTTTGTATGCTGGCTTGTCTACTTATTGTACATCAATAACTCTTATCTTTCATTGCTCGTGAAATTTAATTGCTACTTTAAATTTATAATTTTGTCAGCTGGCTCGTAGGTTGAATATATGCTGGGAATTGTATGTCGGAAACGAAAGCCACATTCACCCATCTATCTCAGCCCTATCCGGATTCGGATAAGGCATATCACTGTCCGACTCGTATTACGCAAGACGGTACCAATATACCGTCCCTCTTTGCCTTGACTTGGGTGGAAACCGAAGTAAATGAACGCTAAGCTGAAGTCTATTCAAGCCGATTTAATACTCAGAAGAATGCCCAACCTTTCGGCTTCATACAGCACTTTTCAGAATTGAAATCGCAGTCCTGAGAGACGAGTAAACTGCACTCTACGACGAGTGTCTCTTTCAAGTGCACCATGAATAGGTAGGTCATCCACGTTAGCCTCCATTACTGTTGTGAACCACAGAAGTGAATTAAAATGTGCTTGCATTTTTTACTCTGACTACAGTAATTAAATTCATCTCAAATTTTATTCCCTGTTGGAATTGTATTTTTTATCAAATTATTTTGCATATTAAATTAAATGAGTACAATCATCAAGGTTTTTAAGTACCGTACTTCGTATGTTAAGAGAAGCCCCCACGTGTATAAATTTATACAAATTTAAAGAGGTTATCCACTGTATGCTGAAGTTCAAGTTGTGGATGTTTAGAGCGTCATACAAATTTCTAGATATCGATAATTTAGGCATTTCGTGACATAATTATCTGATATTAGAGGTAGTGTTATGTATAGAGGTGAGTCTTTATAGAGTTTAGGAGACCATACTGGCTATTTCATTGGTGCCACCAGCGACGTGCAAGTGGCGAGGTGCAAGTGCCGAGACCGAGGGCCGAGGGCCATGGCCGCTCTGCACGCGACCAGTCAACAGTGGTATAGTACAAGCAACTTCATCATTGATTCATTCCTATAGTAGGTCCTGATGCCTCCTGGACTATGATCCCTGGTCTTCTGTCCTCAGCGGTTGTGTTGAGCCGTCACCGTGTTCACTAGAAAAACATGACATCTTACTTTCGTGACCGCGGTGACGGCATCACGCAGTTCCAACGATAACTTCAGTCTACCTTGTGCGCCATATTCACGCTCCCCACCATCACATAACCGATATTACCTTAACCCCTCGATCATCACACAAGCCGTACATGTAGTAGTAGTACACACACACTTGTACAGCACTGTAGTAGTATCGATACATCACATAAACAGCACTGTTGCAATATAGTGTCGTTAATGTAGTGCTCTATTGCGGTCCATGCTCTCCATTGTCCTCTCATGCACCTGCTGAATATTAGTGAATCATGATTACTCTCAAATGGGCTTTCATTTGCCTGTTTGCTTACGTTCCTAGCTCTCAGTTTTTCACTTTGTGCTTCCGTGTGGCTGCCTACCGGTACTAGTTTGACGCTTGCGGCAACGCGGCACGTTGCGTGCACTGTTTGATGGCTGTGATGTTCCGAAGACACCTCTCATTTACAATATACTTCGAAGTATATTTGAATTGAGAGGAATTAATTCCGTGATGCAAACTTTTGACCATTTACCTCAAAACATTATATATCCACTTTGGGTGATAAATATAGAAAGATGTAGGATGTACCACTTGATGCTCTTAACATCGTGATCGCTTTAACATACGAAGTACGGTATTGTCTTTGACTCGTCGCAACGCGGAGATCCAGAGCGAGGCGGCTATCTTGCGGCAGACTGATCGTCAGGCAGACAAGGCTAATAGAGCAGCAGCGCAGGCCAAGACGCCGCTCATCAGCGACGGCTGGCATTGGCGAATAAGATCGTGGCGTTGGCGGAGGCGCAGCAGGACGAGTTCGATCGATGGGTGCCAGAAACGCCGGAAGACTACACGGTGGGCGAGTACCTCCAATGGTATACCGCACAGCCTAGCCTATCCATGAAGTCCAAAGCACACCAAGAAGCGTATATATTTGAATTGAGAGGAATTAATTCCGTGAGGCAAACTTTTGACCATTTACCTCAAAACATTATATATCCACTTTGGGTGATAAATATAGAAAGATGGAGGATGTACCACTTGATGCTCTTAACATCGTGATCGCTTTAACATACGAAGTACGGTAGTGTCATGAATTCGTTCACCTCACCATAAAGCTTAAAACATTTAATTTCGATACAAATCTGAAATGTAGTCCAATTCACAACCTCCTCGATATCGCGCCGAAAGCGCCAAAGAAGGGTGAGATGAAGATATAGGAACCCTAATACTTACTTAGTATATGAATGAGGCAGCAAGAGGTCAGATTGAGCTGTAACTACCTTAAACGCATGTCTTGGTTTACTCCTTGTCAAGTGGTGCTTTTCCACTCTGCGCAAAGTTGCTACACGCCTATCACCTACGCCTACCTTCTGTTTCTTGCTTCGTGACACTTCTCTCATCGTCGGAATCAATAAGAAGTGAATAGACCGTACAGCAAGGGTAGTATACAAACATTCATATAGCTCACGTTTCCGAACCACATTGATTGGTACAAAAACCATATTGATCCGAAAATATCCATTTGGAAACTTGTTTAACATTGTAAAATTGATACTTCGTATCCAAGGCACTTTGATTGGAATTGTCAAATAGGGGCACTTTGGCCGTTCTTGCTTTGGCCTTTTTCGCCGAGGTTCGGTCACTTACGGATAATATCCGGTCATCCGGAATTATCCGGTGTTCTCTTTCTGTAGAAACCGGACTGTTTATGCCCAATCATAGGTCAGCTAAACAGTCCGTTAATGATCATCTTTGGTTTTGCCCTCGACCACACAAGTGTTCTTCGTCGTCGTTCCTCCCCAGTGCTACCCCCTTTATCGTCCCTCTTGACAGGAATAAAGTGGAATTTTACTGTTAATCGGGAAAAGGTGTAATTGCAATCAAACTGCATGTTTTTGGGTGACCACCATAGGTACAGTACTATTAATAGTTCAATTCCCTCATTAAATCAGTTCCACTGTTGTTTTGACCCGAAATACTGTTTCAATGAGATTTATATGGAACTTTGTATGCTCAGACCACCTCACCTCTTACTAGGGGTTACCGGTAAGTGCATCGCTAGTGGTTCGCTATCGCTAACCGCTGAGATGCAGTTAACCCCGGAGATTTAGCATCGTATGTACTCACCGGGAGTACAGTAGGACGGAGTCCCTGGTTACAGGGGTACTGGCGAAATGGTGTATCCGGATGTAATAATTCCCTCATTGACTGTGAAACAGTATTTCGGGTCAAAACAAAAGTGGAACTGTTTTACTGTTAATGAGGGAATTATTCTAGGGATACTACTATTATTAATATAGTACAAACAGTTTGGAGAAATCCAAGAACCCTGTAGTTTATACCGGTAGTTTATATTAATACCGGTAGTACTCCGTATTTACTATGGAATATAATTTGCGAGTATTTAAATTACCAATCGTTGGGCTCAAATTAACTGTAAACTGGGTGCCCAGTACAGTACAGTACTACCATAACTACGTACTTAGTTCTAAGCCAATTCGAAAGCCATATCCCTCACCCACGCTGATCTATTTTATTTTAAATGAGAAAATTATGGAAAAGGTCCTGTCGACTTGCCCGAACGTAAGTACTTGCACTAGAGTTGGTGACATTTTCCGTATTATATTGTCCTCTATCCGTCTAGTATCCCCAAACCAAATTTCTACAGTGGTACAAATAGCGATACTAGACGTCCCTTTGGTGTACAGTATTGGTGTTTTCTCAGATACAGTATTTATTATTGGTTTCTTCTACACTTCTCACATTTTGGCCCCATGCGAAGTGAGAACATGTCGCCGCCGCCAAAAGAAATCGCCGTCAACGTTGTCCTAGAAAAGGTGAAAATTATTATTGCGTTTGTATACAAACGCAAACTTTTTAAATAATTTTGGAGGGCAAAATGACGAGGTTGTAATGGCTCGGTGTAATGTGCGTCCAACGAGCTTCAAGCTTACAAAATGCAATGCATTTTATACTCAAATGTACTATGCTCATTTCTTTCAATACATAGATCAAGACAAAAGAAAGCACTTCACATGATTACATTGGTATTTCGTCCTTGCATTGATACTACAGTGATTTGGCCGTGCCATAATTCGTTTGATTGCAAAAACTAGACGATGGCACGAAGTTCGCTCTTGGTATGTGCGCTCGTGGCGGCTGTGTGTTGCTCAGTGCAGGCCCTGGACCCGATCGTCGTTCGCGGCAACTACATGTACAACTCGGTCACTGGGGACCGGTTCATCATGCGCGGGGTGCGTCCATGACGGTGTGTTTTTTGCCTTCGCGATTCTAATGAGATCGTGCGCTGTAACTAGATCACGTACGAATACGACGTGAGCAATGACAACTTCGAGAAAAACAGCAAAGAAGCCATCGACCGCGCCGTTAAGGACTTTGCTGGCACGCTCAACACGCTTCGCATCTACCAGGTCAACCCCGAAAAGAACTACTCCATGTTCATGGCGCACATGGAAGTCCAGCAAATTTACGTCATGGTGGCCGCAACTCCGGGTACTCAAGACTACTTTGGCAGTTACCGGTGGTCCCCCATTGCCAAGGCGTCGCCTCCAGGCGGCAACCCGTCGTGCTACCCGTCGTACTTGCTGCACTATGGCAAAAGCGTTGCCAAAGCATTTGCCCCGTACAACCACACATTGGGTTTAGTCATGGCCAACGAAGTCATGCAGGCATCGCTGATTGCCGCGCCGTGCGTCAAGCAGTACGTGGCCGACCTGAAGAACTGGATGCGATCCAAGCATGACCGCATGCGTCTGTTGCCGCTAGCGTACGCCGCCGCCGACGGCGCCTATGTTGGGGAAAAGGGTCAAACCGACAAGCCCAAAACGCTCGTGGATGCCAACGAGTTTGCCACGGCCAAGATTCAAGGGCTCCTTTGCGGCGACAAGATGGTGAACGGCCAAATGCAGTCAAGCATCGACATCTACCTCGTCAACGAGTATCGGTGGTGCCCGGGGTCCAAGTACTCTGACACGTACGCCCACCTGCTAGCGATGGCATCTGGCGTGCCCATCGTGATGGGATTGGGCGAATACGGTTGTGACAAGAATCCTCCCAGGGACTTTGCCATGATCCCGTACCTCTTTGGGGACTCAACGACATCGCAGGGGTTCTCGGACGTGTACTCTGGGGGGTTTGTCTATTCGTTTGGGGAAGCCAACTTGGGAACGGGCACGTTCTTTCCCCTCTTTGTCGGTACGATTGTACCTAATGCATTCTACACGTATACGCTCAAAGTGACACGTTTTTCACCGACATATATATATTGTCCTTTGACCCAAAATTTGGTTGACTTTTGTGCTGATTCATTGTTTGGCCTGACTTTTGGATGTAAATTTGGGCTTTTGTGCGGATTCTTTGCCAAATCTATCGATTGGTTCTTTGTACTGAGCTTTGTATGTCAAAATTGTCTAGTGTCACACTAATTTAAATCACATTGCTGAAGTGGTCGAAATCTGGGTTTCGATTGGTCGAATTTCGATTGTCTGTCGATTCTGCTCATTCGATTGAGCACCCTACCCTCCAATTTCGAATATATCGACTTGACAATATCTAAATAGGGGGCGACATCGCGATTACGGGGAAACCTGGCAAGACCGCGACCCCTGCCTACGAGAACCTGGTCAAGCAGTTCAAGGCGAACCCGCCCTTGAAAGAATACGCACATGCGACGTGGGATGCCGCCAACTTGACGGACCGATGCACGTGGGTGCCACCTCCCGCGACCAAGACGTCCACCAGCAACAAGCGCGCCACCGCCCAGGGCTGGATCGTCCAAGAATGCACAGCCGTGAAGGTTGTGCCTTCGGACGTATGGACGACGGACTCCCGCGAAGGCGTGGCGTGCTCGAACGACGGTGCCCCATGTGATGTCGCGGTCGCCAAGACGGTGGCACTGTCCCAGCAAAGCCTCTGCGGCGGCCTCTTGGTCAGCGGAAGCAACTGCGCCAAGGACTCGGACTGCGGAGCGTCGGGCACGTGCACGGACGGGCAGTGCAAATGCCAAGGCTGCTTCACCGGCGCCGGCTGCCAGATCGCCATCAACGACGAAGAGGTGTGCTCCAGCTCCACCGCCAAACCTCCGCTATCAAAAGATGGGTCGTCGACCCCAAAGCCCAACTCCGCCATCGGCATCGGCAGTACTTCGGCCGTGCTAGCACTGGCCATGGTCGTTGTAGGCGCGATTTGTTAGGAACGAAGGACTATAACGAACGTCACACGAGTGCCAACGATTGAAGTTGGATACAGTATGCGGGTTCACAATGCACGTTGGTTAGGAATATGCCTACACTACATACAATAAGATACGTTTGACAAAAGCGGAGTTCGAACCGCCACAATTGATAGAAATACTCCCATGATTTGATATTCCTACCCTGGAAATGGCCTTTTGTAGGGGCACTTGGAACTAGCTAGACCTACAACCAGTCAATTCATAGTGGGATATCATTCCTGCAAAGCGGGGAATTTGCTAACGTTAGTATCGATGTCCAGTCAACGAAAACGACATATCGGTTCGACCATGCCAATATTATATGTCTGCGTATGCTTCACAATCCAAAGTAATGGTGATGGCGTTGCATTATGATGAAATGGAGGTGAAATGGTATCGTTCGGTATCCGTATAGCTAGGGCGTTCGTTGCCTCCTCAATCTCCTCATTTCACTGCAGACAGCAGCTCTTTAAACAATCAGTTATATTGTCCTTTTACCCATAATTTGGCCTTTTGTGCTGATTCGCCAAACCTATCGATCGATTCTTTGCATTGACTTTTGTAAAGTTATGTGAAACTCGTCCGATGTCACACTAATTTCATTCACACACTAATTCAATGATGAATTGGGTGGATTTCATTGGCCACTGATTCGTGTTTTGCATTTTGATTGGTCGATATATCGATTGCCTGCCGATTCGATTGAGCACTCCAAATTCGAATCGACTTGACAATCAAGATCCACTTTGAATGTGCGGCTACAGGTTGCTATGATTGGGCTCGGGCTTTCGTTTGTACTTGTCAAAGAAATCGGCAATGGCGCCGGCCAGCGACGACGGACTCGACGCCGTCGACGGCGCTTCGACGCTGAGGCTCTTTCGGGGTCGAAAGAACCGGAACCCGTCTTGTGAACTCGAGCTATCGTCGATCCACCGCCATATTATAACCCACCAACGTCAACAACGCTGATTTCAAATCGTACCCGGCAATTCGAATGGTGAGCCACCGGTGCCATTGATGGTACGGCACGTCGGCTTGCGTGGCTTGGCGAAACCACGCTTGGATCGTGTGGCGGCTCGAGCCTTGCAGAAATTTGTCGTGGGCGCCGTGGTCCAGTATAATACCCAGCGCAGTGAGCTTGAAGAAGCTCTCCAACCGGTCAAACGAAGCCAACGCTTCGGACGTCGCCTCGTCCTCGTTCGGATCATGGGATGACTGGCCGCCTCCTTCCAAGTCGGTTTCCCGACCCACCAGCGATTCCAGTTGCCGCTCGAGGTGACTGCACTTTAGCCGTGTGGAATGCACCAAGTTCGACTTGGCTTCAACGTCGTCGCCTTGCGCTTGCAACTCCACCGTCAGTTCCTAGTATTATGCATTCGATTCGACGTTGGAGGGGTGTGTGGGGAAGTCCAATCGAATTGCGGCAACCCAAACACAAACAATCGACTAACTAGCCAATGAAATTTCTTCAATACAAAAATTCCAACCAATGGTAGTGCTTTGGCCCATTTGTCCCAGTGGAACTATTTCTATTCAATTTTCGTATGGTATACATTGTATGGTATCCAATTGTGCTTCGATTTCTTGAATACTAGTAAACTTCCCAGTCCAAATTTGGGTGAAATGGACAATACATAGAAAAACAAATCGATTTCATAGTAAGCTGCGACGACGTCGCCATACTATCCAATGCACGGCGAACGATTGCAATTTCCAGTAAATCATTTAATGCAAATATATAAAGAACGTAACCAAATAGGCCAAGTCATGCAAAGGTATAGAAATGTAACCAAATATTATTAATGTATACTAGTACATATATATATCTATGCATATATATATACAAGTCAAGACGATAAGAAATATATTTTGTGTTGGTTCGGAATGTAACCTCGATCGTCTGGCGCAGTCGCGCTTCGTCGGCCAACCTACCGTCATGTATATGTATGTAGCAGCTCCATCAGGTCGCCCGTAAATCATGAAATATCGTCGTATTTTATGAAAATAAATACATATTTATATATTCAAATCGTACCGGACTTGGTACATTTCGTGGCAGGCGTCCATTTTGACTAAAGCGGTAGCCAATTGGCCATGCAGGGTCGTGTTTTTGGCTGCGAGTGCTTTGCGCGCAGAGGCGTCATTGGCAGCCGCGCATTTCATTTGCTGGATGATGTCCAGCATATCTCGCTTGGTCGATTGAAGTCGGTGAATGGCCAAGTCTTTGGCGATGGCGCTGGCCGTGGCTTGCTCCAAGGCCGTCGAAAGGTCGTATACGGACGCCTTCAGTCGATCGACTTCGTCTTGAGGCACCCTGGGACAGTGATGTACACTTTTTAGCAAGGATATTGTGGTGTGTTCATTCTAAACTGGAGCGACACGAAGAATATGAATACATCAACACAACCAAATACAGTAAGTACACAAGAATCATTGGCGGAAGAATTGAGCCAATCCGATTGCAGGAAACCATCACCAACGTTTAATTAGTGTGTGACTTCATTTAGTGTGATACCAATCACCACTTGACATACAAAAGTCAAAGAATCGATCGATAGATTTCGCGAATCAGCACAAAAGTCCAAAAATACTTTTTGGGAAAAGAAAGACAATATTGGAAGACGACTGGTACGCATTCCAGTTGTTTCGCACCTGGACAAGTGCACTTCGGAAGTTGAAGTGTCCCCATAACAATGTGGTTGATTTGGTGATGGTTGCTCCTGTTGGAGCCGATCCAACGACTCTTCGGCAGTGTGACATTTTCTATGCGATGGCCATATATATTGTCAACAAGGAAGGTGTCTTGCATGCAGCCAGCCTACTGCTTCCAAGCATCGCGTTCCGCTTCCATGGCGAGCAAGTGTCGCTCCAACATGGCAATGTCACCTTTCAGTTCGCTCGTAGTGGTTTCATGAGCTATTTGTATCCTAACGCCGCGTTGTCAGCCATGGCTATGTACGCATGACAAAGCATCGGTATGTACCTCTGCATGGATTGCGTGAGGTCGTTGTTCGTGGCCACAAGATGGAGGCCATACTCTGCTGCCTGTCGTAGTTCCTATGCACAGGTATGGAACATGACGATGGTAGCATGGGGCAGGATCGTACTTGTTCCACTTCATCTAGCTGCAACCGCAGGTTGTCAAGGTTGTCGTCTGGGAATTTGTCCAGCGGCGGAGGAACGCAACCGTGGCGCGGCGTCGTGGACGTGAACGTGCCGTCCAGCCTGTCGTACACACACACCATGAGACTGGCACATTGCAGCCATCGTGCGCACCCCTCATAGGCCATCTCTTCGATCTGATTGTCCATCTTAACCGCGGACACCGATGGTCGCAATAAGCTGCAAAGAGCGCAATAAACTCCGCCTGATCTTGTGCACATGCAGGTTTCGTCTTACGACGAGATGCAACATGATATCATACTTGCTGTCGTTGATATTTACTACGTATTTGACAAAGCGACAGTATATTAGTATTGAGCATTTATTAATACCGCAACCTTGGTCCACTTTTGGGGCACAAAATGTGGGTCGTGAGGGCTAACTACACAGTATTTTGAGCTAGTATATTGTACATTAAAGTATATTCTGTAGACGCTCCGATTTATAAGGAGTGTATGTAGATAATTGGATTATGGTGTGTGGAGCTTTTGATGGGAAGTAACGTTAAGTTACAGGAACTTAGTTATGGCTATAAGTTCCTGTAGTTATGGCTATAAGTTCCTGTACTTGTGGTTATAAGTTCCTGTACTTCCCATCTGAGATAACGAAGAAGTCGCGATGAACGAGCGGCAAAGGTCTCGGGATTGCAGGACGTCATTGTACTCCAGCTCCATGCGTGAGGAATGGTATCCGTAAAAACTACTACTACTCCGGAGTGGTTGTATGATAATATCATTATCCGGATGAAACTATTTAAAAACATTAGACTTGATATTTCTATGTACCATAGAATTTGTTGCATTTAATAAATCACGTACTTGGTGTCCATGCATTTTGGCGGCTTGGTTGAGGCATGGGCGACATTTTTGGATCACTCGAACTGTGAAAATGCCGCCAAAGAAGAAGGAAGAAGTACGTCGTATCCGATGCCTTTGTCATCTTTATGCCATGTTTATCCATGTGCTCATGGTGTATGTGTGTCCTCCTGTGTGTAGGCCCCCAAGGTGTACTTGGGCCGTCCCACGAACAACGTGAAGATCGGCATCGTTGGCTTGCCCAACGTGGGCAAGTCGACGTTCTTCAACACCGTGTCCAAGCTCAACATCCCCGCCGAGAACTTTCCCTTTTGCACCATCGAACCGAACCAGGCCATCATCCCGGTGCCCGACCAGCGCTTCACGTGGCTGTGCGACAAGTACAAGCCCGCGTCGGAAGTCCCGCCGGTGCTCGCAATCACAGACATTGCCGGGTTGGTCAAAGGTGCCGCCGAGGGTGCCGGGCTCGGGAACGCGTTTTTGTCGCACATCCAGGCCGTAGACGCCGTGTACCACATGGTCCGCGCGTTCGACTCGAAGGACGTGACCCACGTCGAAGGCAACGTCGACCCCGTGCGCGACATGGAGATCATCTTGCACGAACTCCGTTTGAAGGACATTGAGCGCGTGGGTAAGCAGGCCGACGGCATGCGCAAGAACGTCGAACGCGGGTTGGGCGGCAAGGAGAAGAAGATGGAGTACGAAGCGTACCTGAAGGTGCTCGAGTGGCTTGAGGCCGGCAAGGACGTGTCGTTCGGGCAGTGGAGTGCGTTCGAAGTGGATGTGCTCAACACGCTGCAGCTTCTCACGGCCAAGCCCGTGGTGTTCCTCGTCAACGTGAGCAAGAAGGATTACCTCCGCAAAGGCAACAAGTACCTCCCCGCGATCGCTGAGTTTGTCGCGGCGCGCGGCGGCAATGAAACCGTGTTGCCCATCTCTTGCGAGTTTGAAATGGAGATGATGGACCTCGACATTTCCGGCCAAGGCGACGCCTACCGCCAAGCCAACCCCACGCACAAGAGCGTGCTGAACCGGATCATTCGCCTCGGGTACCACTCGCTGGGGCTGATTCACTTTTTCACGGCCGGAAAGGACGAAGTCCGCGGGTGGACGCTGCGCAAGGGCCGCAAGGCGCCGCAAGCGGCCGGTGTGATCCACACGGACTTTGAAAAGGGGTTCATCATGGCCGAAGTGCAGTCGTTTGCCGACCTCAAAGAATGTACGAGAGCTTTGATGGATATTAATTAGATGATGACTGATATTGGGGGGATGTGTTAGATGGATCGGAAGAAGCGGTCAAGAAAGCCGGCAAGCTGAAGCAACAAGGCAAAAACTACGAAGTACGACAAACTCGTGTATATGTATGTGGTTGATCATGGGCTGTATATAGATTGAAGACGGCGACATCATTTACTTCAAGTTTAACAACTAAAATGCCGCAAAAGCCGTCATGTATAACGTTTTTTGCAATCGACACATGATCGTTGCTGGAGTATATGTTGTACGCACACTGTGTTCCTCGTGTATATAAGAGCATCCCCACCGGCTGGTGAAGAAATGTAAAAATCGTCAAAATACATCACTACGTCAGCAAAATGTATAGTTTTCAGACCCACACCGGATGCCAATAAATATTACATCATGAAGTAAACGCTCCATAACACACAGCGTATCCGTTTGTCGACTGCTTTTGGTGCGACGACGACAAGATGGCGGTACATGCAGGCCTAGTAACCATGTCGGAGAATGGTCACCCCAAAGGCATCGGGACATTCAACACCATGAAGAAGAACATCGGGATTCCGGATGGTGTCAAGCTCGTTGTCAACTACATCACCTTGCCGTACCAGGCTGACCGATATGCGAATGGCAGCCGAAGCTACTTCTTCTCGGACGATAACGACGTGGGCATTACTGAAATCCAGCGAGCCGTCGACTTCCGTGTCATCAAAATGTCGCTGCGTTAACAAAGTAGATTCATGATAATTTCGATCCATTACCGGTATATTTGGTTCGTGATGTTCAAACAAAAACTCTAAATGAATTGGAAAAGTTTGTTGACACATCTCGAGGAATGTCGTTGGGACATGTCACAGACGCCAGTTTATTGTCGTGAACGCGTGAATTTCGATAACGTAAATGTGAGAAATAATAACGTTACTCGACTACCGTCATCAACTATATGTACCTCAACATCGGACAAACGGAAAGTAACTACCTGTGCATCTGCTTCGTCATAAAGGAATCCGCGGGCATCACAAACATACTATAACGTTATACATATATGTGCAGTATGTATAACGTTACAGTATGTATGTGAAGCCCGTTACCACGATGCCGCCCCCATGAGCCATGACCGACGCATCCGCGCCCGTAGAGCCCATCTCACGGCCAAGACGCTCCGATGGCACTCCCGCAGACTCCCTTTATTACTACCTGCCATTCCCCCTCCCATAGGCTACGCCGACCCGACCCTCCGGCCACCGCGACACCCCCTGGGCCCCGAGATATCACCTCCAGCGGTTTAAGCATCCCGTCCCCCTGGAGCCGACACATTCAGGTTTTTGAAGTAGTTAAGTCCGCTAGCTGCTAACACAGCTAGTACGCGGCCGAGGCCATTAAGTGCCCGCTGAGTGATTTTAACTTTACAGCGTAATATGAATATGAATATCAGTATGTTCCTTCGATCGAGGGGTTCCTTTATTCCAATTTGCTTAAATAATAGGTTTTCTTCAGGGGAAGTTCCAAGTAGATTTCAGAAATAGCATGAGCCAATCAAAATCGATTTACCTTTTTTTTCACGATTTAGAAAAAGACGTCAAGGACATCTTTTTCTACTTTTGGTATAACGTTAACGTTACTGCAGTGAGTTGCGTTAAAAATCGCACAAAAAGAGGTACAAAAGTAGGAAACTGTACTTGGAACCAATTTTTCATTTGCTAAAAATATCTACTACGTACTTGGAACAGGCCCAAAAGAGGAGAATTAATGGAGTTCAAATCATGTTGAAATTCGCATTGGTGTTGATGAAAAATGAACTAAAAGAGTGAAAATATCCATAGGTTGAAAACAGTTCCGAGCCACTTGATTTTATCCAGTTACCTCTCAAACTCAAGAAAAGTTGCAGGTGATTGGTTGCAATTTCAGGATGATTGTTTTCCACCAATCATGGATCGTGGCACCAAGTTGTCACGGAACTGCGCCCATTCATATGCAAAAAGGAATTGCTATCGAATGCCTGCGATTTCGTTCCATGCCATCGTGTTCTCAAGGCGACCATGATGGCGATGTGTTGCACGACTGGGCGTTGGCGAATAAAGTCGCCACGGCAGCCAACCGAATCCTCCGTCGCATCGCTGCTTGGACAAGACTGCGGCTATGATACCTTAGGATCAGGCCAACCATCGCAACCATCAAGCAGCGATCCATCGCACGCATGACTCATCAAAAAGGCTATTGACCCCGGAAGGATGCCGTCCCTATGCGGGACCCGCATACGCAGAATCTCACTTGCATTGAGTTTGTCTACCGGTTGTGGTGATCACGGTGTACGATAGTTAATCCGATATCCTTGTTTTCATGCGATAGACATGTCAAATGATGTGTGTGCTGTCGTCCTGTGAGCGCTGGAGTAGCCCTGCGGGCCACTGCTGGTAGATGTTAAGCTACCGTGTGCACATAAAGGATAATACGACGTTTCTCTAGATTAAGCCAGTACTTTGGCCACCTGGAACGCGCGCTTGAGTTTTCTCCGCTCGAGCTTTTGCTGCAACGTTTGCTCGTTCTCGTCGACCTTTTCCAAACTACTCAGCGCTTCGACGACTTGCTGGGCGTCGCGCAACACACGTTCCCGCGCGGTGCCTTGCATGCCTTCGAGGTATTCGAGCACGATCGAGAACAACGCCTTGTTGACCACGTCGGCGCGGTACATCCACCGCAAGATCCAGACTTGTTTCGCCTTCTTGAATCGCCATTGGGGTTCGTCTGCCGTCGCCGGTTTGTCCTTGGTGCGGTAAGATTCAAGGTAGTACTTGGCTTCTTGGATCAACTCCGGCGGTGGTTTGTTTTCTGTGTCGTTGTGGTTGCCCGTGACAGGAGCCTTCTCCTCGACAGCTTCATCCTTCTTGCCACCTTCCGCTTCCTTCTCAGTCTTGAACCGCTTCTTCGCCGCCTCGCCCGTGTTGCGCCGCCGTTTTCCTCCCATCCCAACGAGTTGTTGCACAAACTTGACATTACACTACGGAAATGATTGGAGGACAATATCCGGCCTTTCCGGATAACATCATAATACTGGTATGTGATACTGTATTCCAATACAAGTATTTTCAATTAATACTTTAATTACAACTCCAGCTAATAATATTAATAATTTTCATAATTTTATCTTCTTACAGTTAAACCTAAGGGCTGGTCTGGATGCCACCCCATAAAATTATGCCATTGGAACTCAACCCTATTAAGTATAATGTACACTTCTCGCCCATGAAATTATCCCATAAACCGTTTTGGCAAGTCTTCAAAATTTCCCAACGTCTCATATCCTATGAAAAAAGGAGAAAAGAAGCATCTACAACGTTATCTGGATGTCAGTTGAATATTATTCGAATTCGGATTGAAGTGCAAGACTTCACAGTCAATGTCAACACAAACCTCCATAAAAAAGTTGGACCAAATCGGTCCATTCTTTTGATGCCATAAAACACCCGATTCTCAAGAAAATTGTGGCATAAAATTTTGAACTTTGATGGCATCCAGACACAAAAAATCTCGAAAAATGGGGGACTCCCAAAACCTACACAATGAATTTGAGTCGATGTCACAAAACCTCTGTTTTTCAAATAAAAATACGCGACACATTTTGTGGAGACGATTTTGTGGTCTGCACAGAATTGTGATTTGTGTCATCTAACCACACAAATTTACCTCTATAAAGAAGTACAATATTTCTCAGGGAACGCATACGTGGCTAGCCATTCTACGTTATGCCGCGTCGTGGAAGATTTCGATTCTGGCAACTTTTCTTCGAAAAACAGCCATTTTATGCCATTTTTCGTGGCATCCAGACCCGCCCTAAGCAAATTCACTTTAGAATATTGTGAATTCGCAATAAACTTCCAAAATTCGTGCGGTTTGTCTAATACTCAATCTCCCTGGAGTTCTGATTGGTTGAATATACTTGTCCATTCTGAAAGTGCCAATCAAATCCAATAAAAATTGGATTAGTCAATAGCGTCGATCGTGATTCGATTCGGCGACCAGATTGATTCGATTCGACGGGGTCTGGAAATTTGTATTGTGCATTTCACCCAAATTTGGACTTGTGAGTCATTTCGCCAAATAGCTTTCTAATCCATTTGATCCCATTTAAGCATTTACAAACTACTTGTAGTACAATGATGTCGCCCGCAGCACATCGTGCTCGTTCACGTCGTGTTCACCAAGTTATGAATAAAAATACGATTTGACTCAGATTTGCGAATACAAACTTGCATATTAAATATCGCCTAAAAAAGATGTCTCCAGTTTTATGGAATAGAGGAAGTATTCTAAGATAGTATATATATGTTTTGTCCAATACGGAGGGACTGGGCCGAGTCAAGTGTTTGGATTGGCAGAAATTCACCAGAACGTGATTTGATTAGCTTACAGTTAAGGCGGTTCTTTAATCAATTCTCTAAATCAATCGATTCTACTGAGGGCTCCAGTTTCGAATCGATTTGACAATACCAAATCGACAATACTGTACTCGTAATCCTTGTGGTCTAGCTAGCTCCACATGTTCAAGTCTTCGTCGCGGTTCACGGGCGTGTACCAAGGCGGGTACTCCATATTTGGGTTGTAGCTACAAAGCACATCCATATGCATTGTCCATTCTGATCACAACTAGGCATTCGTGTACCGATAGTTCAAGAACACTTCTTCGTCTTCAATGTCTGTTAGCGCCACCAGCACCAAACTCTGCAACGGCAGAGTTAAAGTCAGGTGTAATATATAGATATGTATGACGACAACGCGTACATGCACCAACGCGCGTTTGCCAAACATGGCCAGCATGGACGGCGGGTGGACGAATCGATTGGGAATGAGTGCATGATGCGGATCCGTTTGAAATGGGTCTAGATGGAGGTCGAAAAATGTTCAATGGCATTTTAAAAATGACGAGGAGAAGACGGCGCACCAGCTGGAGGAAAGTCGTACGCCATGGGAATGACATTGGGCATCGTGTCTGGAGGCGGATGGTTGACCAGTTGAGCCAGCGCCAACGGATTCGCATGCGGAATTGCTAAGTACAATGCACGGCATTCAACTTTCCCACTTTCCAAAGACTGAGACATCTGATTGGCTAATATCCACTTGGCTCTGTCTGATATTCTAGCCAATCAGCGACAAGAAATTTCGGATTGACCAGTCACCAATACCACTGCTAACATATAGTAGCCGGCACTGTACCTTCGCCCGTAGCGTCGATGATGGCTCCGTCGAACCGAGCGCGGGCAAATGGATTGTTGGACACTACATGCAAGTATTTCTACAAACACACAGCGAGCGATTAGTAGGGCAACACGGTGTGACGATGGAACCTTGCGGTAATGCTCAGACAAGTAGACAGTGCCAGGATAAAGCGCCTACTGGACACGTGAGTGGAAGAAATCATGAGAAGTTCGTACGATGGCGGTGCCAGCGGTCGCACGCCCTTCAAGAAACAGCCCTCGGCCTGCCCCAGGGATAGAAGAGTCTCGCACGTGCAACGAATAGCCAAGTTCTCGTCGGACAATCTCATCGAGTGTCTGGAATACAGAATGTACCCCCCATAAGCAGCAGTCATGTATATATATATATTTGCATACCTCGGCCCCCTTTGCTTCTTGCGCCGGGGTCGAGTCTTCTGTAATAGAGAACACGCTGGGTTTATAACCCGCGTTAGCTTTGCCCCGCACAAGCACGTCAAACACATGCTCCATCTGGCTGGTCAACGCTGCTTGCGCCAATTTCTTGTGGTCGTCGAACGATTTGACTTCCATGTGATTCACCGCCGCTTCAAACAGAGCGGCCTTCTCTCTACTCCAACACATGAACACGTTGCATTCTCGCGTCCCACTGCAAGCCGAGTCCGTACGTTGGTTCGGCCACTGGGTTGGCATCCTGCAGCGCCTTGAAATGTGTCAGCATTGCTACAGTCGCGACGTCCATTTGCTCCTACGGCGATCATGTTATGGAGGTGTTGCTCTGACACCTTGGATCTTACCTGGAATCGGCGGCCTGCCGTGGTGCCAGACAGCGCATACTGCACGCGCTGGAAGATGGACACCATGGTTGTTGAGTTTGCAAATTTCGCACTTTGGCCCTTGAATTAAACCAATCCGTGGACTGGATGACAACATTATAATCCAATCATAATACACTAATAATATCCAATGGTATCAACTAAAAGCTTAATTTTAGCCAATAATATGACTTAATTTGAAAATACGACAGTTATATTGGCTATAATTAGAACGAATCCACCTCCGCCGTATACTTTTGTCGCGTCGCCAGCTCCTTGAGTTGTTTCACTTTTCTGCATTTGGGAGGACGAAACAGACACAGCATCATCATGAGTGTAGCCACCGATGTCTTGTTCAACGAAGGTAACCCCCGGGACGGATGCGCACGCGGCATGCGTAGACGTGGCCGCTATGGAGAAGGAACACCGACCTTCCCTCCGCTGTGCCTTGTCCACTGCAAACCATACGAGCAAATGTATCTAATGATGACGACTTTTGTAGGATGGGGTGATATCTTGACCAACATTTCTCCGTACGCTTGGGGAAGTATGGGCATTGCCTTCGGCCTTGGCTTCTCTGTCGTCGGAGCTGCGTGGTACATGCGCAATATGTTCCACGTCTATTCCTGATGTCCATCATTTGTAGGGGCATCTTCTTGACCGGGTCGTCGTTGCTCGGGGCGTCTGTGAAGGCCCCTCGCATCCGAACCAAGAACTTGGTGTCGATTATCTTTTGCGAGGCCACGGCCATCTACGGAGTCATCATTTCGATCATCCTGTTGAACAAGATGGACGTGCCGGCCGTGCGCCGGCCCACGGACCCTGCGTTGAATTTGGACCAACTGTACTTTGCCGGGTACGCCGTGTTTGGTTCTGGCCTCGCCGTGGGTCTCACCAACATTGCGAGCGGGGTGTCTGTGGGCATCGCCGGCAGCAGTTGTGCGCTGGCGGATGCGCAGAACGCCTCGTTGTATGTGAAGATTCTCATCGTCGAGATTTTCGCGAGTGCGTTGGGCATCTTTGGGGTCATCGTAGGCATCATTGTCTCGAACAACGCCGCCTTTCCCAAGTAAACAACCGTCCGCTGACCAGTCACCGACAGAAATAAACAACCAAAACACACGAGCCCATTGGTTTCGAATCGATGAATTGAATATGACCCATTACTTGTGCGTCATGTATTGCTATTTTCATGTCGTAACCTGCTCCAAGGAGTCTAACAATGCAGTTGGATCTGGCGTCTCTTGGGGTGCTGCTGTGGGCGGCTCGTCGTCTGGGATAACGTTACTAGCGATGCGAGTAGTAGGAGTGGTGGCCTTGGCATCAAACCCCATCGCAGCCAGCAATTCGTCCACCTTGTGCTTGGCTTGAAACGTATGCATGACGTTCGGAAACAACTTGATCAGTCCCGAGTCTTTCCGATCAAAATATGACGCCATCTAGTACTTGACAATCATACTTCCGCCATCTCAATGGACATACCTCCATGTACTGCGGGGCGTGCATGAGGCTCCACGCCGGCGGCAGCCCACTCGAAGTCGACGCCAGGCGGGTAAACACTTCGACAAACACGGGGCGGGGTACGAAGTCCGCCCGGCCGGTGGTTTCCACGGCCACGTCCCGCAAGCTCGAGACCAGCGCATTCAGCTGGGTGGTGGACAAGTACACCATATCCAAGTACTCGACGATGGGGTACGGCGACACTGGCGGCGCCTCGATGATGCGCGCGCTCTTGACAAGTCGCACGTCCGTGTCCTGGTCCTCTTGGCGTTGGGGCGGGTAGCGGTCCAACACTTCCGTCTAGAACGCAACCACAGTACACGTCGTCATAAGCAGCCTGCAATTCGAGGGCAATTGGCATACGTACATGTACGAGCAGACGATGGGGCAACGCCCGATGCATTTCCACGGCATGGCGAACCCCCGCCACGAGACTTTGGACGGCCGATCGCTCTCTCTCGAGGCGCGCCGTCAGCATGTGCCGCAAGTCGAGTTCTAGCGCGACCATCCCGTCCTGGATGTTTCCCAGCGCAGCACTCGTCAGCGCACCAATGGCTTGAATGCGAGTTTGTACTAAGACAAGCTCAAACGCAAGGGCGCGGACGGCATTGGCACTCCCAGCGGTTTCTTTGAAGGAAGGGGGAAGCCCCCCGCCGCTTTTGTCGTGGTGCAAGTCCCCTTTGCTCTTGACGTTGTGTCCCTTGGTGTCTTTGGCGTCCTTCAACGTGGCGGTGGCGCCTGGGGGAGCGGCCGTTAGGTCGCTGGCTTTGTCGTCTGGTTTCACAAACCGCGCCGACAGTTTCTTGCACGCGTCGAGTGCGTTTTGGGTCAAAATGGCCAAATCGTGCTCGGGGGTGACCGCGACATCCACCTCGACGACAGCGACCGCCGCCTTCTTGGCTGGCTTCTTGGCCTCCTTTTCGTCTTCGACGTGTGCTTCTTTGGTAAAGAGGAGGGGCGGTAGCATCGCCGCCGCAGCGTCACCGGACGAGGCGGGGGTTCCGTCCGCCACAGCATCCAGCGGTTTCCCCAGCCCGAGTTCGTGTCCTTGAATGGCATCTGCGATAATCGCCACCGACGCAAAGTAGCGATCGACTTCCGCTTGGAGGCAGGTTTGGCCCAATAGAACCACGGATTGAGTCAGAACGTCCTTCCACCCGTCCGCGAGCAGCATCCGCCCGAGTTCGGCCGCCGTGTCCGCCCCCTTGGCCTCGATGAGCGACAGCAGCGCGTCTTGGAGGGTGTCTGTGCGCACGTGGAGCTCCGCTTGCGTGGCCACGTCGAAGCGCATGTCTTCTATGACAGCGTTGAAGTCAGCCTGGAACGAATCCACGACCGACTGCCTCGTGTCCACCCGTCGAACGAACGAACAAAACGACGACACGATCTGGACGCGATGGGATGACGCCAGCATGCGCACGCGACGGAATCCAGCAAAGCACCGCTGGAGCACCGTCTCGTACGTCCGTTCTGTCGTGGCCCACAGCGTCGCCACGTACTCGGCGAGAGGCTCCACGGCGGCCACACTGGGCGACGCAACCGATGACGTCGTGGGTCGGCTTGCCTTGCTCAGAAACGTCGTTGCGGCCGCGACCGCGTGGTCCAAGGCGCCTTTGGCCGTGTCTGCGGCCGCTTTGAGCGGCGCGAGCTCGTCTTTTTTCGCCTTGGCATCTTCTGCGGCCTTGAGCGACGCTGTCGCAGTTGCGTCTTCGGCTTGGGCCGCACCAATTGCTGCGTCCAACGTGGCCAACGTGCGCGTTCGGAACTCTTCCGCGCCTAGCGCCATGGCCGCGGCGAGCTCCACCAACCGGTCGGCTTGGTGGCGGGCGGCTGCGGCGTCCGTGAGGAAGTGGTCGACATGGTCGCATATTGTCGACGCAAAGTCCGAGCACTTGCTGTCCACGTGGCGAAGCGTGCCGTACTGGCGGAACCATGCCAAGATGCCCGCCTCGGTCGTGTCGTGGCTTTGGGCGTGGAGCGATAGGTTCTCGGGGGCGATGATGCCATCGCTCCACAGCTGCAGGCGGTATCGCATGGTCGAATTTTCCGGCGGCGGGTTCGACCGAATGTGAAACTGCGCGTGGGTAACTGGATCGATGAGTTTGCCGAGACAATGCCGGTATAACGTCGTGCGTTGGATTGGCAGCATGAACACCATGTCGAGCCCCGACTTGCCTTGAAAAAACGTCGACGGGAGTGGCGCGTCCGGCTGCCCGGGGGCCAACGACGACGCCCGATCGGACGCCGTCCGTGGCAGCTCCCCCGGCACGACACCACTGAGGAGCCTCTCCAAGTCCCTGGCTTCGTCCACATCACAGACAAAGTCCTCCAGCACCCAGCCCTGCACAACGGGCGTGGCACTCCCTAGGGCGACCAATGCATCGTGGAGTAGAGCAATGTACACGTCGTTCGGCACGGCCTTGCCGTCCTGCAGCAAGTTCTTCACGCGTTTTCCGAGCTCGGTTTGTTGGGTGATGGCGCTGTCCAGCAACGTGTGCACCGACAACGGCGCGAGGTTGTACGTGGCACACAGCCGTTTGCTGAGCGTTTTCCGACCTGAAAACGGCTTGCCCAACAACACGATTTTGAGGGCAAATGGTGGCAGCTCGGGTCGCTTGGGCGGCGATGGGAGAGGGTCCGTGATCACTCGAACGTACTTGATCACTTCTCCGAGCACTTGCGAGGCAACAAGAGGCCCTCGGCTAAATGGAGGCCCCCCTCCGCTTGTCACAGAAGTGTCTGGTGTCGGTAATGTGGGGGCTAGCGATGCTGTCGCGGTCGTACGTGTACTGTCCACATGGTTCGAGTATTCGTGGCCATCCAATAGCGCGTGGAAACTCGGGCTGTGCCACTGCGGAAACTCGGCGTCAGTGGCGTTCACAAAGAACGCCTTGAACTCTTGCCACACTGTGTCCGGTATGAATTCGTCTGCCGGGGCAATCCACGTCGACGTCTACCACATTACAAAACACCCGCGTTGATTCCATGTAAATCCACTCACACGCCCATAATTGAGCTTATTGTACCGTTCGATACGTGGCAGCCTCGTGGACAAGGTCCAGCACCCGATCCAACACCTCCGAGCAAAACACTTGATGCCGTTTGGACGTGGCGGCATCCATAGCCCCCGAGAGGCGATCGTAGCGCTCGTTCTGAGCCAGCACGGCATCTGTATATCGATGGTGGATCATGCCATACGCCGACGCATCGCGCGTGATCGCCTCCAGCTCGTCTCGCTTGCGGCGCTTGGCGTATTTGCCTTCGCGGTACTCGCGATTCGCCACGACCACGTCCATGTATGTAAGTACGTTGCGCCGCGTGGCTTCGACGGCCAGTTCCGACGTCGTCGGTCGCAGCAGCGCGGTTTCGAGGCTGTGGAGGTCCAGCGTTTCAGCCCGTTGCCGCTGCCGGGTGTCGGACTGCTTGACAAATTTCGCCCGACGCTTCACCGCCAAGTCGCAGCGAAGTTCTCGTTGCAGACGTTTCTGGCGGGCGACGTCGACGTGTTGTGGTTGTTTGCTTGATGGTTGGTCGTCGTTGGTTTGAGAATACTGACGACTGGCTGGCAACGTGTCGGGTACTGCCACGTCGATCTTGGCGTACACGGAAGACAGCGACCGAACGCCATAACCGATGGAGATTTGCTTGGGCAAACATTTCGTTCGTCGTTTGGTCGTCGTGTCGTCTGGCTTGGCGAAGTGTGTCTAGGCAATTCATAATTCATTCCGCGAACACCCCACCTAGGTGTATTTATTCATCTGAACGTACTCCTTCGAATGTTCCGATGCCAGATTCCACTTGGGTACGTGCGGCTTCCTCGTCACGGACCTACGTCCGTATTGTAGTCACAACAACGAGTTGACTGTACATACTCGTTTGGCAGCTTGGCGTTGCGCGACAAAGGTATCGTATCGCGCTTTGCGTTGCTCCCGTTCAACGCGCTTTGTTTGCGCTGCCGTCCACGCCTCTGTCTCGCCCTCATTCGCACTCTATGTCGTGATTTCCATCATGAGCATATTCCATGAAGCCGAGATACGCACTTGGGTGAATTCGCGTTGGATTTTGGTCAAGTGGAGGCGTTGTTGTCGCGTGGCAGCCAGCGCTTCGATGTCATCTGCCTTGGCTTGCGCGATGGCGGCGGTGGTGGCTACCTGGGCTGCCCTGGCTGCCCTACATGCAATGATGATTGGCATGATAGTCATGCTAAAGGTAGCCGCACTTTTCCTGCGCCAGCACTTCTACGGCTTTGACATGAACTCGGATCGTGTGTTCGAACGACCGGTGTTGCCCTTCCTCGTACGAATGTTTCGGCAAGCGTGACGGGATGTTGTGAATCGGCAGTACCCCGCCGATGGCATGGGGTCGACTCGAAACTGTCCCTGACCGCCGCACTCGTTCCACCGCTGCCTAAATAGTCGGGGTTGAGTTGATGCTAAATGCGTGTCGTACTTTGATCTGGTAGAGCAGTTTGGCGGCGACACCAGCTTGTTGGTTCATCACGTTTGTCGCCGTGACTGCATCGAATTTGATGCCGAGGCTGCGAATGGTGGGTTCCAGGAGGGAAAAGTTGACAATCTTGGCATCCGAAGTCTCGGTCGGCACAAAGTCGGTAAAGTTGTGCTGCTGGTTACTTCGATGCAAGATCTCTCCAAGCAAGTATCCACTGGCAAAGTCACTTTCAAAGCACTCAATGTACTGCGACAGCTGAAGGTCGTCGTTGAGCCACTTCAGGAGGAGGCTCGACATCGCCGCTCGCTGGCGCCGCGACCTTTCAAATGCACTTAAGTGTCGGTTGGGGTGTGGTCGTAGGTGCAATGTAAAACCGACTATTTTGGACGCGAATTCTTGAAGTTTGATTCCATTGAAATACAGCAAATGGCGGTTTTTATGCGTGCTATCGAATTGCGTTAATCCACTGCTGTTACAGGTTGCTTATATATTGTGCAATTGTTTTGTCACCTATATGTACTATTGTAGATTCGAGAGAGGGCCAATCAGACGGCGCCGGTCGTTTTGTTGGACGAGCATCACACTACTGCACATCTTCGTTGCCAACATGTTCCTCCGTCGCGCGGCAGCCTCTTCGCTGTCCTTTGGCCGATCCCGCGCTCATGCGACGCCTCGCTTCCTTGCGCCTGCTGCCAACCATGTCATGAACATGAGCACGTTGCCGCGCAATGACCGCATCCGCAACGTCGCCATCGTAGCGCACGTCGATCACGGCAAGACCACGTTGGTCGACCAATTGCTCAAGCACGGTGGCAACATGCTGAGTGAAGACCGCGTCATGGACAGCATTGACTTGGAACGCGAACGCGGGATCACGATCATGTCAAAGTGCACGCGCGTCGAGTACGAAGGCCGCGTGTTGAACATCGTGGACACGCCAGGGCACGCCGATTTCGGCGGTGAAGTCGAGCGCATCTTGAGTATGGTGGACGGCGTGGTGCTCGTTGTGGACGCGACGGAAGGCCCCATGTCCCAGACCAAGTTTGTGCTGACCAAGGCTTTGAACCGAGGGTTGAAGCCGCTCGTGGTGATCAACAAGGTCGACCGCCCCACGAGTCGGCTCGGTGGCGAAGTCGAAAACGAACTCTTCGACATGTTTGTGGCATTGGACGCCAACGATGAACAGCTCGAGTTCCCAGTGCTGTACGCGTCGGCCAAGCAAGGCTGGGCCGTCAACTCACTCGAAGACGACAGCGAAGACCGCACGACCATGAAGGCGCTGCTCGACCAAATCGTCGACTACGTCCCTGCGCCCGAAGCCGAAACCGACAAGCCATTTTCCATGGCTGTGACCATGTTGGGGTAAGGCGTATGATGTGGCACGCGGTTGGAGTAGCATATTGATCCGGATGTGTGTGTAGCCACGATCCATACGTGGGCCGGCTGGCCACTGGCCGCGTGTACACGGGGCGCGTCAAGGTCGGCGACAACATCCACGTGGTGAACCGCGAAGGCAAAAAGCTCGAGGCGGGCAAAGTCACCAAGATGTTTGTGACCCGGGGCACGACCAAGTCGGAAATCGCCGAGGCCGAAGCCGGTATGAACTCCAATGGTTTGTCCTTTGAATATGTGACACGGTGTGGGCAGGGGATATCATCACCGTTGCCGGTGTGAATGCGTACGTGTCGGACACGATCGCCAACCCGGAGGTGCTGACGTCAATCCCGTCGCCGCAGTTGGACCCGCCGACGATTTCCATGACGTTTGGCGTGAATGACAGTCCCATTGCCGGCAAAGAAGGCAAGTTCCTAACCTCTGGACACATCAAGGAGCGCCTCCAGCGTGAAACCGAGGTAAAGAGAGTTGCCATCCCCGTGTTTTGTATGTGTGGTCGTTTTTCATTGCTCAAACCCGATGCGGTTGTTGCTGTAGAACAACGTGGCTGTCTCCGTGACGACGAGCGAAACGTCCGAAGCATTCAACGTGCACGGTCGCGGCGAGTTGCAACTGGCCATCTTGATTGAAGAAATGAGACGAGAAGGGTTCGTCCACTGTGTTCTGTCTCTCGACTCGAAAAAAAATGATATATTGTCCTTTGATCCACAATTTCGATTTGTGTGCTGATTCACTGTCAAATCCATTTCGATCGATACAGTAGTTTGGACGGGCTTTATTGTATGTAAACAATGACCAGTTAGTTTCACACAAAGTCACACATACTACAATGGTTTTAGAATCGAGAATTTGATTGGCCACTTGATTCGTGTGTTGGTTTTTGATTGGTCGATATCGATTGTCTGTCGATTTGGGTATTCTGCTCATTCGATAGAGCACCCCCTTGACAATATATCTATAAATGTCTACGAGGCAATGACATCGTGTGATGGTTGTAGGTTTGAAATGTGCGTGTCAGCGCCCCGTGTGCTCTTCAAGCAGTGTCCCGACACCAACCAAAAGCTCGAACCTGTGGAAGAAGTCACAGTGGACGTGGACCAAGAGTTCTCTGGCGTTGTTATCGACAAGCTCAGCACCCGCGGCGGCGAATTGGTCGAGTTCAAAGACATCCAAGTAAGCGTTTGTACCTCCGATAACGTTATTACTACTTATATACTGATGCCCCAATGGTTCTAGGACAAAGTCCGTCTGCTCTTCCGCATTCCCAGTCGCTGTTTGATGGGATACCGCAGCGAGGTACTCAACATCGTCACACACACTTCTTTGCACTGTAAAACTGACGATTGTTGTAGATCAAAACAGACACCCGTGGCAGCGGCATCCTCAACTCGATTTTCTACGGCTACGAAAAGTTCCAAGGACTGGCCAGCGTGCCATCCAAGGGCAAGTTGATTGCGTCGTGTAACGGCAAGACCACGGTAACCACTCAATCATACTTTGTAACATGGTTGGCTAGGAAACGAACTCGTTCTGACTGTTTCACCGGTCAATCGATCGATCGATCGGTACCTATGATGTAGACGTACGCGCTCAATATGTTGGAAGAACGTGGGGAATTGTTTGTCAAGCCTGGCGAGGACGTACGTGACGTGGCATGACGTGGGGGAGTTGCTCAGAGATGATGATGATGGTAGGTGTATACGGGCATGGTCATTGGCGAGCACACGCGGCCAACAGATTTGGAAGTGAACCCGACCAAGGAAAAGAAGCTGACCAATATGCGCGCGGCGGGCAACGTACGTAATTAGTTTGTGCTTGGGGTGGCTATACGTATATCTGACATGCACTCTTGATTCGTGGGGCAATCTGACATGCACTCTTGATTCACGTGTAGGACGAAAACGTCCGGTTGTCTCCAGCGCGTCAAATGTCCCTCGAGGACGTTGTCACGTACATTGGCGAAGACGAAATGATCGACGTGTCGCCGTCTCAAATTCGCATTCGGTAACGATTATTCTCGCCTTGTTCTGTCTATTTTCAATCTGTGACAACGGGCGACAACTTGTAGCAAGCGCTTTTTGGACCCGAACGCCCGCAAGCGTGCCAAGTAGAAGATGACACCGCCGCCGTCCATTTGGAATACTATCAACCTAATAGAGTAATACAACAACGTTGCTACCTGCATCCTACCTAGTACTGCATCTACTTCGCCATATCAAGCAAGCATCGGTTTATGTCTGTATTTTTGCCTATGAACTCAGAATTGTATGAGACTTTCTATGTGAGATGCAGAATTCAATATCAATTCCACGTGTGTAATCGAAACTCTCTCTGGAAACGAATATCCTTCAAAATATTACCGAAAAACAAAATAACGTTAGGCTGATATTGACCTTGTCATCAAATAACCTGTAATATCTTATACACAATCTTATTTTCGAAAGGTTTAGTTTATCAAGGACTCACAGCACCTTCCACTTTTCATTCACTGCCAAGACTAAATATACCAGTAGTTTCATGGATGTTGCGCCATTGCAGTGGTTACATGTATTCATAGCAATGGTTTCAAAGCTATGGCTTCGTGGCAGCACTTTCATTTATTCATTCACTCACCACTCGATGGATACTACAGCAAAGGATTGCATGACATTCGTCAAGATGGTACGGCCGCTCTCACTCGCGAGGAGTGCCTTGACATCTTGCACTTACTGGCGTTCTACAAAAGCAAAGGGGATAAGACAGGTGGCAAACATGGTTCAGTGGCACTCGGGAGGAACATTGCTGCTGTGTGTGGTGTGTGGAACGAGTATTGCAACTATGGAACAGTCACCCAGGCTCAACCTGCTGCCAAGAGGTCAACTCACCCATCACGGGTCCCACGCACAACTGAAAACCTTGCACTATTCTAGGAGTTCGTACGTGATCGCCGTGCCACGCGCACACGAACGACAGCTGTCGATGTGATGACCTATTTGAACGAGATGGATGTCATGGAAGTTGATCTCAACAACAAGGTGGTCTGTTGAACGCTTTTTGAAACGTCAGGGCTACAGGCGTGGGAAGAAAGCCGGCTCATCCTGCTACCATTTGTCCAAGTCCAACGTGCTTGCTCGGGACTCGTTCGTCAAGGTGATGCATCAGTTTGTGGGTGAATCTCCGAAAGCCAGCGTTGTGTACCTGTATGAGTTATTCATCCACCAGCATTACAAGCGCCACAGCGACAGCTTATTCGACCCCAGCGATGTTTAACACAAGGAAAACCACAAAGGGCGGTGTTATTGCTTCATTGCTGGCATTCTGGACTCACCGGACATGGAGTTCCAGGTGGTTGCCCTTGACATCTTTCGCGGTGGCAAGTCGACGGCCAAGCAGCCCAAGGACATCCACGCTATGCTTAATCACTACTACTTTCTGAAGTGGTTTGCCAAGCTGCTTGCAGAGTTTGGTGATATGGGTGTGGCAAACGTGTTTATTGTGATGGATAATGCCAAGTATCACAAAGGCAGGCCTGTCGGAACACCGATCAGCCGGCTATGCAAAACAACGCTGCAGGCAGCATGGACGCGATATGGGATACCGTTCGAGCCGACAGATTTCAAGAGCATTCTCTGGGAAAAGCTGTCGGCGTACATTGAAAAGCACATCCAACCTCAAGTAGTCCAAATGGCAATCGACAAGGGCCATAGAGTCGTCTTCACCCCCCCCCCTATCACTCCGACTTGCAACCAATTGAGCTGGTGTGGGCGAATGTGAAAGGACATGTTGGTCGTCGCTACACTGATGGTACGGGGCTTGCGGATGTGAAGGAACGACTCGAAGAAGCGGTCGAAGAATTGAAAGCCAGCACTATTCAAGGCTGTATCAAAGCTGCAGAGGGGAAATTGCAGAAGCTGTACGAACATTTGCTGGCAATTCATGGCTTACAATCCGACGAGGAGTCTTCGGCGCAGAGTGACAGTGATAGTGATGCCGAAAGGGATTGTGAGCACTCTAGTTAATTCACCTTCATAATAATAACCTCTTAACGTATAATTTCACTTTGATGAATTTATAGAATGAACAGTATACTCGCTATTTGTATAATTGTCGAATTCGATTTGAAAATTACAACGTCACTCGATTCTGTTGGCCTCTGTGAGATAGATACGCATATATTGTCCTTTTACCCAAAATTTGGTTGACTTTTGTGTTGATTCGCCAAATCTATCGATCGATTCGTTGTAACGTTACTGACTTTTGTATGTAAAGATCGTCCAGTATCAAACTACAGTAATGAAGACACACACTGATTCGATGTTGAATTGGTCGAAGATCAGTTAATGGCCCTACTGTATTGTATCCACTATACTTCGAATTAGTGGGACACGTAATTCTTTTGTCGTTCTGAAACATATTCACTAGATATTATATGCAATTAAATAAATTTGGTCATGAAAAGTGTGTCGGGCCTTTTTCTGATATCGGGTAATTTACTGGAGGCTGCGGGAAATGGTCATATTAGAACGAACTCGATGGAGCTAATCCCTATAATCGCAATGTTACACGATCGGATCAGTTCATACTTCATCTGGGTTGATAGAAACCTTCGCCGTCGCAACTTCGGTGGTGATTTGGTCGTCAACCTTGCTCCATGGAAGCGCACTTTTCTTCGAAACAAGAAACTGCTTATAGTTTGTCCAAAGAACAATGTAGTCTCAAAGGTTTTTTGCTGCAGTATATAAAATTATATATAGTGTATATGCACTATATACAATTTTCTCTATAATACAAAAAACGCGTAGCAGAAAGAAAAAAAAAAGACCAAAAACGTGTTCTTTGGACAAAGATGTAATTTTCGATTGAAGTATAATAGAATACAATTGAGTAGATAAATCGAGTTTCAATGCAGTTTTTACCTTTTGTCTTGTATGTAAACATGGATCCACAATACAATGTGTCTGAGGAACATCAGCACAGAAGAACATTATCTTTTAGAGTGTTTCTCCATTTTGCCCAATCGCCGCAAACCATAATCGATGTCACTGACAGCTCATCTTCCCTTCATTGATGGGTCTCAGTGTCGTTGCCATCTCCCGATGGAAGTAAAACGGACGTGTGCTCTCAGTTCTAATCAAGCGTATTCAGGCTCCAACTGACTGTGAGTCGATAGATATCCAGCAGTTACAGTAACACCATTCCGTGCCATTGAGACCTTGATGCTACAGCATCACATCAATAACAGATAAGACCACATGAAAGAAGTCGATACATTAAAGTCTTCTCCATAGCGCGAAGACTACGTTACGACTCTAAAACGTGGGATGCAAAGTCGCCAAGGCATGCAACAACTGCGACGTCGCCAGCTGTGAGGGCTGCCACTACCTTCTTCGATAGCGTCACTGCGAGTTCAACCGACGAAATCGCGTCCATCCGTCCATACAACATCATAACCGCCTCATGAGAAGTCACAATCTCCTTGTACTTGGTGTTGTCGATGTCTTGCATAAGGACCCCGATAAACTCTCTGATAGCATACAGCGCCTTACCCAGGGTACAACACTTTGAGGCTCGAACATGTGACGTTTGCGCCTTTTTGTCTTCGGTCGTAAACTGCACCATAGGCTTGAAAGGTGCTGCGTCGGTGATGGAAAATGATAATATCGTTGCAGCATTTTCCAACTCGTCACTTTTGGAAGCACAGACGATTGGATCGGCAACACAGGATCGTTGCAAGCGGGTCCAACCATGATATGGGAGCTACATGGTGGGCTTGAGCATTGTTCGAGTTGAACAGGGAGGTTGCTTGGGAGGCAAAAAGACCAAGCAGGCGTGCTTCCATGTCGTTAATACGTACCGGCCGTGACACGAGATTCCAACACTGGAGCGTTGACAATAGGTCCAACCATGGCATTTGGGCTACTCTAAGGATCAAAGCGTGGTTCAAGGTGAAGAGGGAGGTTGCTCGGGGGGCCAACACGAGCAATGAGGCGTGCTTCGATGTCATCGATTCGGACCATGACACGAGCTTCCATGCCCTCAAGATATGACTTGTACACGTTCGCCATAGCTAATTGCTCCCCGTCCTCGTTCGGTGCAACCAGTTCCGAGAGCTGTTCATGAGTGCTGTAGACCCATGCGGTCGAGCAGCCGGCTAAGTGCTTCCGGTCCGGGGACATCGCGTCAGCGAGCACTCCTTCTTCGGCAACATAAATGCTATCGAGAAGGTATTTCATGATGATATCGCACTTTTTCTTGCTCCGACCAACCACCCCACCACTTCAACACCTTCAAACTCCAACGCTTGTCTTTGTCCTCGTGAAAGACCATTGTGCAAAACCACGACGGAACGTATTCGTTGTCATGTATACGTTTTCGAAGCATTTCAGCACTGCACCGTGGGCTGCCGAGCAAAAGTCGACGTCACGGAGCATGGTCGCGATAACTTCGTTCAAGATATTGATGACAGATCCCTCCGACATGGCATGACCCCAGTTGAATACGGACGCAGACAGGTTTGAGTACTTTCGTAACAACTGTATTTGGGGGAACACAAGGTCCTCGTTGAAGCTGTGCTTCATGGCAGTTTCGACGTGTTCGATGCACGTGTCGAAGTGGTGCTTGGCACAAATATCACGATCCCCCAGCGCTTGGCAATTGTGCAACCGATATGTGCGGTCATTTCCGGACTCGGTTTTTCGGTCGTGGAAGGTGTACTCGTGGTACTCGAGACGCACGTTGGGGTCTTGTTGACTGGCCACTTCGCAAGAGAAAAGTCTTTCCCGCTTAGACCAAGGACTTCACTCATTATGGCGCACGCGTACCAGCTCAGCAAAGTGACAGCCTTGACCCACAGAGTGAATGATTTCGATGTGTCGTTGGAATGGTCTAAGAAAGCGTACATGGTCTTCAGCATCGATTTTGTAATGGGGGCCGCACGTCGCGTTACGTGAGTCGCCTTTTTTCCCCTTTGCAGGCCCTTGAAGCAGCCCAGCACAACAGGAGACGTCATGGGATTTCCATATCCCTGACCGTCCTTGACAGACCACGAACTGGTTCCATATCCATTGTTGTTGTACTTACAGAACTCCGACATTCCTGCTCGACCCTTTTTGGCAACGTTCATGGAGGGTGAGTTTCCCGCATCGTCCGGCAGCATGAGCTGACCCACGTAACAGAAAATGGCTTCGGGAAGCCGCGCAAACCGCTTCAATCGTGGATCGTGGGCGTACTCTGGATTGTCTTGGCACCATGAAACGACTTACTCCAGTTTGAGTAGTTCTCTTTCTTCGTGTTGAGGGTGACACGCTTGTCAACCATTGCTTGACTGAAGGCCATTACTTTAGCTCGGTGCTCGCTGTCGTAGTTCGTTGGCCCGGTTTTAAACCGTTTTCCTTTGGGTGTTCTTGTTGCGCAGCGCTCCTTCCTTTCGGCACTCTCGTTGTCTTTGCTTTGGATGCTTGATCGTCGTTGTCCATGATCCCACCGCCGTAACCGATACACTCGTCAACACTCGTTGACGCGTTACCTTCATTTGTCGGCATCAAACATTTCACTCACTTCGGCGTCAAACATAATACTTCGGCGTCACACTTCTTACTGCGACGTTGCTGTCATGCTAACATTTTGGCGTCAAACAATATACTTCGGTGTTACGATTTGGCGTCAAACATTACGATTCAGCGTTAAATACTAAACTTCGGCGTCAAACATTCTGGTTCAGAGTCAGTATGACACTATTTGTCTTAAACGTATGGCAGATGTACACTATATTGGATCATTCTGTTCGTCATTGTTGCCGGTCCTATCCATGGAAAACTTGCTTCTGTGGCGCGGAGAGTTCGGGTTAGGACCTGGCCTTCACAACTATGGAAGACGTGTTACGTCAACGCTGCTTGTTGCACCTTCCTCCCGTGGTTCAGTCCCTCCTGTCACCGTACCCGCCTGCCCTGACCACTCAGTTCAGACCCCAAGACTGACTAAGCAGGATCGTTCACAACATCCACGTAAACGATCCAACGAAACGCCGCAAGACGTGGCCAAACGGGTATCGAATGGACAAGTTGCACAGTCATCTAGCTGACGTCTGGCTGTCGTTTGGTGCTGGGCGATAAGAAGACGCGCACGAGTTTTTTTTCAGTTCGTGTCAGCCATGCCCATGTATCTACCAGCTTTCGGTGGCGAAGTGTTCAACATCGTTGAATGTAATACTTGCAAAACCCAAGCCAGGTAGTGCAAATTATCATTAGCTTATTAATCTAGTACTGTAGATCGCCAGAGGTGTTTCTCGACATCGACATTCCAGTCACTCCAGACGTTATCACTGTTGAGGGCAGCCTAAGAAGAGCGTTTGGTGTCACCGCGTTAACGGGCGATAAGTCGTACGAGCGCACCTATTGCAATCGCTGATACCCAGCTGTGCGTACAAGTGCCATTGCAGAGTGGCCCTATGTATTAGTGCTGCGTGTCCTACGCTTCGCGGTCGGTGAAAAACGCACCAAAACGAAGAACGGCCAGCCCACCCAATACACATCAGAGCTGAACATGAGTGAGTTTGTCGCAGTCGATCACGCGGTACCAGTTTAAACCACCACGATCGATAGATTACTAAAATACTTGCATAGGGTATTGTGTACCAGCTTCGAGGAGTTGTCCTACATCTGGGGAGTTCACTGACTTTGGGTCACTACATTGCGTACGTGCTGGCACCAAGTGGGCGATGGTTCAGTATGGACGACAAGGTCTGTATGCCAACGAATATAGCCTCGTTGCTTGCGACAAACGCAAAAATACCTACTGTTTTACACAGCAAAAGAGTCCTAGAAGCGTGACCCCCAACTGACTACACAACATGCTTCATCTTAAGTACAAGGTACATCGACACTTTATGCAATGTGTGTTCAGAACACTCTACGCAAACGCAAAAATACATACTGTTATACACGGCAAAAGAGTCCTAGAAGCGTGACCCCCAACTGACTACACAACATGCTACATCTCAAGTACAAGGTACATCGACACTTTATGCAATGTGTGTTCAGAACACTCTCAAGACCACGAGCCATGGCTAACTGACCCATTGTACACTTCATCACCAGTGGCGCTACTACGTACGCACCACAAATTGAAAATGTATAATAGTAATTAAATTCAATGGAATAGTTAAATCGGCAGCACGTCCAACGCCACCAAAACTCGTCTCAGGACGTGACGACGCCGTTGTTGTGTAGCAAAGAAATACCCACACGATTCACAACACACACAATACAACCCCCCACAGCTGGCCATACATCCATGAACGCCCCCATGAAAGTGGCCAATACAACAGCCACCAACGCAGCCCCCAGCGTATCCTGGAAAGCAACCCGCATTGCAGCCCGCAATATGGCGGTCCCGAATACAGCCCTCAAAGCACCTCACAACGTAGTCCCTAACACAGTCTCCAAGGCAGCCCCTATGTAGCACATAATTGTTAGTGTGCCAAGTAGCTCACGTTGTAAGATTCTATGTATTTTACACCAGTATTCCATAATTTCTATTTAACATATTATATATCCTTTAGCATCACCGACACCAGCATTTACTACCCCATCGGCTTCTCAGGCTCGTGTGGTGGCACGTCGAAAAGCCTACTACGAAAAACAAGGCAAAAATTCGTCAACAGCAACGCAAGTACGATTCAATCGAGGATGTGAAAAACTGTCGTAAAGTGCTCCAGAACGAACGTGAACGTGCCAGACGTGCATCGAACACGCCAAGCGAAGTGGCGACAGAAATACCCTGAAAAGACTCGACGCTTGCGTCGACAAAGGTATTTGAGAGAGAAGGCAAAAAAGGAGGCTCTACGCGGACTACCAGTTAGTGCTTCTCCTGCTTGTGACGTAGCTTCATGAGTGTATAATGCTAAAAATGGTTTGTTTGCATACGAATGTTAAATGCATACACAGTTTGGTTTGTGGTGTTGGATAGCAACGTACCAGGAAGTGGAATCTGCAACCATGTACACATGGTGCATTGTAAAGGTTTCCGTTGCTTCATCACCGTGTCAACCGAATTACTCAGGCCCATGCAATGGCCACAAGACCCACGGAACATGGCGCCTTCATTTGACAGCAGCTTACTGCGTGTGCACGACACAGCAAGGGTGGACGCCTTGAAATGATTGTTGTTGTCAGTGGACATGCGCTGAATACTGTACCGTAGACCTAACCCCATAATATTGGCCAATCAAAACCATGTTCTTTGAAGTGTTCACCATGTTCTCCAGGAAACGATACCGTTTCATTATTATCAAAACGATGTTATATGATGTTATATTTGGAAGCAAAGATAACAAAGTTGATCAACTTGGATGTTAAATTTGAGACAGCCACTTTCAAAGCCACACAACATAAGCCAATATAAACCGACCAGCCCGAAGACTTAATTCGCGTGTTCACAAGCATTATCTTTACAAAATGACGTATCATGGAGGTCGCTACGAGCTATATTCATCGAGATATTTACTTACAAAGTACTAGTATGTTATATTTGCGATATTTTGCTACTTTGAGGACACATCACTCATGCTACAATGTTGCAATCGCCATATTTCTAGCTGTGAACGATAGCCTACAACTTAGTTTGCAATATCTACATTCATTACACTGCTCGTAGACAAGCCGTCAGCGAGTTATTCGATGTCAAAGTCATGTACTTTCTTAGTTAGCTAACAAAGTTGATCATAAATTATGACTAACTTCAAGTCATATTTGAAGCAATGTTTTATTATTATGTTACTTGGTATTTAAAATTCTCACAATTCAATGTCAAGTCCATTAAAATTACCGAACAGTTTTGAGCGAACTGTAAGGTCACTACACAATGCGTTCCCGGTTGTCGCATCTTGTCGAAAGGCTAATCGAAAGTCCTCCCCTAGTGTATCTATCAGGTAGGACAAGAGCCAGTGCGATCGAGCTGCATGATATACTGCCAATTCATTTGAGGTTCGCTCTTTTGGTCATTTCCAGCACCCTCCTGGGTTTTTACGTTTATACTACTGTACTACACCATTGGAGGACTTCCAAAACCTACACAAATGAATATGTGTGGACCTTGACATAAAAAAAATCAAATAAAAATATGTGTTTGACCTCTCGCAGTTTGTTGAGGCTGTTTTTTGGTCTAAACAATCGTGGTGTTTGTGTTACACATCGCACAAAATTGCTTTGATTATTTATACAAATATTAGGAGGTAAGACAACGATTGGATTTCACGTTCCCACCAATAATATTCGTGGACATTGCGTTTCAACTTCCAACGAGTCATGTCGAAAGCAAGCAAAGGGCGCGGTAAGAGTTGGTGTGCGGCGTCGGTTAATCTCTTGCTCGACCACGTCCAAGAGATATTGCCTCTTGGCAAAAACGGCTGGGCTAAAGTTGAGCTCGAATACAGCAAGGCTGGTAGCGCATACCCACAACGCGATGGTGAGTCTCTTAAGCGCAAGTACCAGCAGCTTCGCAACAATCCTAAACCAACCGGGAACCCCGAGTGTCCGTCTGATGTTCGACGGGCCAAACAAATTGCGCGTGATATTGATACCAAGGCAGACGTCCTCCCACTTGGAGATGAGTGCGAGGAGGACGACGACGAAGCACCATGCACGCCGACACCATTTACCCCAACAAAGGGTATGTGGCATTTGAAACTGTGAATTCACGTATATTATGTAGATGATGAGACCTCTGACGAACTTGGGAAGCCGAACCGAACTGGACTTGCCAGAAGTGAATTGGTTGACCTTGGAGCCTCCCTCAAGATAGCACGTGCTTGTGACAGTACTGGGCAACTTTCCTACGTGGCGAAGAAGAGATTGTCAATCGACAAGTTCATTGAAAATGCTGCGGCGGCAGATACCAAAGCGACAACGGACTTCATGTCTATGATGGCTGCGATGGATGAACGTGCCGCAATTCGTGAAGAGTTGAGGCTGGGACGTGAAGAAACTTGGCGTAGAGAGCAACTCACCCGGGAGTTTAAAGCTGATGCCGAGCGTCGGGACAGAGATGAGCGCCGCGAGCAGTTTCAACTTATGTTGATG